AAGGAATAGATCTACTTTCAATTACAATAGAACCTCTGGTCATGAATGCGTTTGACCACGACCAAATCAGGTTCCGGCCAAAAAACTTCACAACATTTTTGAATCTGGCCATGAACGCACACTCGGGTGGCGATCAAACACGACCCCTGACCCAGAAATTCCTGAAGACGAAACATTAGAAGACGAAGAAATTGCCAAAGTTATGGAACGAATGATGGTTCCTTCTAATGTTCTGCAGAGGTTCCACTGTATCTAGCTTCGTGAATTCGAAAGGACTATTAGTCAGTGCATACATATATTAATAAATAGAATTGAGGGTTTAATGCAGGTAGTCCTTGACTTACAATAATGCAGGTAGTCCTTGACTTACAACAATTCGTTTAGTGACCATTCAAAGTTACAATGGCATGGAAAAAAGTGACTTAGGACCGTTTTCCACACTAAGGACCTTTGCAGCCTCTCCATGGACTCTCCATGTGATCAAAATTCAGGTGCTTGGCATCTGGTTCATATTTATTACGGTTGCAGTGTCCCGGGGTCATGTGATTAGCGAAAGGGAAGTGGTTGTCTGGGGAAGCCACATTCACTTAACAACCGTGTTACTAACTTACCAACTCCAATGATTCACTGAACAACTGTGGCAAAAAAAGGTCATAAAATGGGGCAAAACTCAACAAATGTCTCACTTAACAACGGAAATGTTGGGCTCAATTGTGCTTGTAAGTTGAGGACTACCTGTATTGCATTAATATTAAGGAACAATTGCCATCTCTTGTGCTTGGGAATGGGTCCTAAATCGCTTTTCTGTGAGGGACTGCCCTGCAGTCATAAGTGCAACCACATATTTCTGATATATTCCAGATATTGCCAATATAGAGAGGCTGTGTCAGGAATATCCCACTAAAAATGTTAGGGTTTAGGAGACTGGCTGAGCATAATTTACCGATATCTCTGGTGAATAACTTGTTTCTACTTAATGTGTAGCTCAATAAAGTTTATGTGCTTGCTTAACTTTCATAACAATGTGTTTCTGATATAAATGCCTTGTAAAATCTCAAAGTTTTGTTAATGCTCACAAATGACTTGTGGTTTTGTGCTGTCCTTTAGTACATCAGCATATATTCAAGTATATTGAAAAATATCCCGGTATACGAACAACGTATTTAACAAGCAGTGTTTCTTTCATATAAAAGTCTCATTTAAATGTGGTTTCTTCAATTTCATTTTATTCCTTTATGATAAGAAGCAAAGGTTGGAAGCTTGTTAAAGAGAGATCCTACCTGCAACTAAGGAGAAATTTCCTGACAGTAATTAACCAATGGCATAGCTTGCCTCCTGGAGTCATGGCTGCTCCATCGCTGGAGGTTTTCAAGAAAAGATTGGACAACTACTTGTCCAGAATGGTATAAGGCAGCATAGCTGACTGGAGACTTCTGGGAGTTGAAGTCCACAAGTCTTAAAGTTGCCAAGTTTGGAGACTTCTGATATGAGGTCTCTTGCCTTAGGCCAGGGGTAGGGAAACTTGGCTCTTTTATCACTTATGGACTTCAACTTCAGAATTTCTGAGTGAGCCATAAAAGGTTCCCCATCCCTGGCCTACTGGTTTTTCAGTTGTGGGGGAAATCAATTTTTGACTTGAATGGGACTGTTTAATATACAAATGTAGGACATATTCTTTATATTTTTCAGTTGTGGGGGAAATCAATTTTTGACTTGAATGAGACTGTTTAATATACAAATGTAGGACATATTGTCCACCATACTTGTGGACTTCAACTCCCAGAAGTCTCCAGTCAGCTATGCTGCCTTATACCATTCTGGACAAATAGTTGTCCAATCTTTTCTTGAAAACCTCCAGCGATGGAGGTTATATGTCCTACATTTGTATATTAAACAATCCTATTCAAGTCAAAAATTGATTTCCCCCACAACTGAAAAACTAGGTCAGGGATGGGGAACCTTTTATGGCTCACTCAGGAATTCTGGGAGTTGAAGTCCATAAGTGATAAAAGAGCCAAGTTTCCCTACCCCTGTCTTAAGCAGAACAGACTACAACAGGGGTCTCCTAACCTTGGTAACTTTTAAGACTTGTGGACTTCAACTCCCAGACTTCCAGCGAAACTGGCTGAGGAATTCTGGGAGTTGAAGTTCACAAGTCTTAAAAGTTGCCAAGGTTGGACACTAGAAGACCTCCAAGGTTCCTTCCAGCCTTATGATTCTAATTGTATTATGATAGGCATTGAACTACCAAATGCTTTTCTCTCTTAACTTCATGCTTCCTTGGAGATATACTGCCGCTTTCCTCGGGAGTTAAGATGGGTTAAATCACTTTGCAAAATGAGCCCTGCATCATGAGGCCACTGAAATGCTTTCAAATACTTAAAAGATCCAAAAGATATTATCATAGTGCTAAATTTAGTAACAGTGCTTCTTGGCATGAAATTAGCCAAGTAGTTGGGCTCCATTTTTACATTATAAATGATAAGGCCTGAGGAATGGGCCTTTTCTGGTTGCTGGTAATATACCCATAAAGTCTGAAGCACCTCTCCATTTTTATTGCTTACCAGATTTATTTTTATATTAGATATTACAGTTCATTGTTCACTGTCTTCCAATGTTTAAGCTGGATTTGATTTACTTTTTAATAAGCTGTTGTAACTGAGAAAAACTGTTTCTGAAGAGAAATGAATTAAAAACGTCCATCTTAGAAAGAAGATGGAGACATGCTGAGTTGGCTTTTCTCTTTAAAGATTTTTCAAACAATAAAATACAAGAAATAAATGAACTTATATTTCTGCTATTACCTATTATATATATGTTGGCTCCATGAAACGATAGGGTCACCTTAACCCTTTTTTTCTCCCAAATAGCAACCTTAGTGTCCCGAGTAACACAGTGCAGTCAATACAGTCAAGTTACAATCCCTTTGAAGATGAAGAAGATTCTGGAAGTACTGTCAGTGAAAAGGAGGACATTAAAATCAAAAAGTTGGTGAAAGACTGTTCTCAACTTGTTTTTTCTTGCTTACACTTCTCTATCCAGGGTTTCCAACTCTGCGTTTCTTCAAAACCATTGTGTGCATGAAGTTCTTGCTCAGAGGTTACATACCTTTTGCAGACTTGACTAACCTACACCAGTGCTCTATTCCTATTTTATTTTTGGATTGGTTTTTCTTCACTGATTCCACCGACATGATCTTTGGTAGTGTGCTTTGAAACCATTGCTGGAGTTTTATCACTGGCTGTATTCATTCGGATATGTTCCTTTAGGAAACTCTCTTTTATCATATAACATTTTCCTTAACCAAATTATCTTTCTAGTGTTGACGCTGAACTGCTGGTTCATAGCTTATACACATACTCTGTATTCTTCTCAGTGCACTGTTATTACTGACTTTTCTCTGGTTGTTTGACATAACAAAACATCTCATAGGAGTCCTTGTTGGCCGCAATAGTGGCATATGTACAGCTCTTGCCCAATAGTTCAGCTAAACCAAGCTATAATAATTTATTCTTTGTATTTAGTGTTAGCAGCTATGAGAAAAACCAGAGTTTGGGGACTGAATGGTCTGATGAAGAAACCAACAACCCATTTTCATCCAATGATGGCCAAGGAGAATCTAATCCATTTGATGAAGATGTTTCCCCCACAATGGAAGTGAGAGTACGAGCCCTCTATGATTATGAAGGCCAAGAACATGATGAATTGAGCTTTAAGATTGGTAGGTCCTGTCTGGGCATATGAAATAATTTTTCTACCATAGCAAATGCAAGAAACTCCAGATCTATGGTGTGTTGGCATTTTGGAACGTTTGTGGTGCTTCCCACTCAAATTTGTAGGAAGTTCACAGGTACAAATGGAATGTGTACACATATCATATGGGAATTCCGGTATCTGTAAAAATAAATCTAGTAGTATTGTTATGATGACTGGCTGCGCAGTAAGCCAAATATTTAAACTGAATTTGGCATTTTTATTCACCTATAGAATCCTTTCCAACAACCTGGAATAGGCAGTGTTGTTTGATGGGTGTTAGAGGTATCGTTGCAGGGTGTAAATTGCTCCAAGTAAAGCTGACTTTTGCAAACGACTGATGGAGATTTTGTCAGGGTTGGTGATGTACAAATGGATCTCCAGATGTTTTAAAATCATGCCCAAGGCATCATCTTTGGTTCCATCTTTGCTTTCTTTTACCACATTAGATAGACTTCTATTTCCAGGTCATTGTATTTCGTTATCTTTTCCAGTTCTTTCTCTCCTATTCTGCTGTATTCAGGTACTGCAAGGTCCACTATCAAACTTTTTGGGGGGTCTTTCTTATCGACAGTTGTTAAGTCTGGGGTGTTATGTGGCAGGTGCTTGTCTGTTTGCATTTTGGCATTTTTGAGGTTCTTTAAAAAATGGAGAGAGAAACTAACTCCTCTTCCCATTAAAATTTCTGCATTTGTAAGAAGCTTGCACGCTCTAATTAGCAGTGTATACATTTGTCATATGATAATTGTTGTGGCTGTAAAAAGTAATATGGCAATATAATTTGTAAAAAATGAATATGAATAATTACTATTGTACTACTATTGGCTTCAAGCCATCCTTGACTCATGGGGACTACCTAGACTAGTCCCTAAAATTTTCTTGGCAAGAATTTCAGGAATAATTTGCCCTGGTCTTTTTTTGATTTATCCAGGCAATTGCCAGGGGTCAATAATGACTCAAAGGCACAACTCCCTAACCCTACCCAAAAACAACCTGGAATACTTCTAATAAGGAAGATTTATTTTTAAAAAGCAGATTAAAAAGTGGGTGATATGGTTTTTAAATATCAGCTGAGGAATGACTCTTGTAAAATCATTGTAAATGTCTCCTCCCAGGTGCTATTAATGTCAGTTGTGGTTAATTGACAACCCAATTATCATTTGGGTTTGAGTTTTTTTTTTCTTCAACTTGTTAATCTGGTTCTTGGAGCTGGAGCTTGTGGAAAGTAAGGGATCAGTGTAATTTTCTTATAATTTTAACAGTAGAAATAGTGAAGACCGTAACTGGTGTAGAAAGGCAGCATTTATTCCCATTCTGGTATAGATGGGTTATCAGATTACTTTTTTTCTCTCCCATAGGCGAAGAGCTAACTAAAATAGAAGATGAAGATGAACAAGGGTGGTGCAAAGGTCGTCTGGACAATGGAAAAGTTGGGCTGTATCCTGCAAATTATGTAGAACCAATCCAGTGACAAATAATTCTGAACGTGATATAATAACAATCAGTCAACAAGATGCCTGTGGTTCATTATACGAGGAACTGAAATATAGCTATTGATCTATCTATATATCTTTTAATGCAATTAAATTGATTGGTTCCTCCGTTCCTTCAGCAATCTCCAATGCTTCAGGCTGAAACCTAGGAAAAGGTTGGCATCTTAAAGATAGCAGAAAGTCAACAAGAAAATGACAGCATTCATTTTTATCCTATTTTATGATGACTGTTCTTATTTTGCTCCAAAATTTGCTAAATCAGTGCCTCGTTTCCTTTATTTTTGGATATTACCTTAAGACCAGTTTTGTTCAATCAGTAATGACTTGATCTTTGTAATCTGTAATTTAGTTTTTTAACTGCAACGCTGCATTTGTTAGTAATCTGTGAAAAAATGCATTTTTAAAAGTTATGTAGCAATTCATTTTTCATGCATGGTCTACTACTTCATTAGCTGTTACATAAATAATGATTCAGAAGTATTGTCCTCTCAATTCTGTACTCTTTTTTTTTTTCATGCTGTCAGCATGGCTTAATAGTGTAAAATGCCATATATACTACAGTATCTATTGTAACAATTCCAGTAGAATTATCTGCAAATATTAAGGATTCGTTTTTCTTGGTGAATATTATTTTGACACTTGAAATCTCAATTTCCTAAAGGACAACATCATGTACATTTTAAAGATTTCCCCATATTTGAAGAATGTCATTATAAAAACAATATGAAATTATAAAATTTGCAATCTGTAAGTTAATGATTTTATGTGATTTGGAAAGTTTAAACGTAAGGTTTATTTTTTCAAGCCAGAGACTTAAAACGTACTGCCTTTTTACTGATATGCTCTTTAAGTTGTCTATATGTATATATAATTTGATATTAAAATTAAGGAGCATGTGTTAATTAGAAAATCTATTGTATATGCATTAGATTTCAGATTGAATCTGACACCAGAATATCAATGTTGTATTAACTTCAGTGGAAAGTTAACAGCAGCTTTTAAAGTTTAAGCAAAGCAACTTAAAATGCAGGCATATTTAAATTTGCTATGTTTCATACATACACACAGGTATAAGATAGAAGGCTTAGCTGTGCCCCATCCTGTATACTGTGAATATAGCTTTCCTCTTAAGGTATAAAAACTCAGTTTCCCCTTCCATATTATATTATAATCACCTCTAGTTATCATTCCATCTGTGCCTACCCCCAAATGTCTGCATGAACTCTCTCACATCCACTCTTGCAAGAATATGAGTTTGTCCTACCCTTTGTTATAGCAGAACTCCTCACTGTAATTGGCACTGGGACCACAGGGATTAAGAGTTCATTGTGTACCTTTGGACTCTTGACAGGAAATGCATCCAAAGCACACTAAGGTAAAACAAAAGTATACTGTGATCTAAGTCCTTAAATGATAATATTGGGGTTTTATTCTGAAGATCTATAATTGTTAATTAAAATGTGATTCCAAATGCAAGGTTAACATTAATCCAATGTAGATTGTTGTAGTAAAACACTGTAAAAATGTAGTTGGTTTGCGGATCAGCTGTAGAAGTGTCAGATCTCTATAGATTTGCAGGCAATTTAAACAGCAGAATTGTGAACTTGTTTAAAATGTTGCTTTATAGAAAATTTAGAACTTAACAGATAAGTAGAAATGATGTTTTAGGGAATCGCACTGTAATTGAAATGATAGTTGAAACTGAAAATGCTGTAAGTGCTTCCTGACTATTCCATTTGTCTGTGGAAATTTACATATTTATTAATATTGAAGATTAATTATATTAAGTGGGTATTCGATCTCTGTCATGTTGGTATTCCAGCATAATTGTTCAGAAATGGAAAATTTTGAATAAATGGTCAAGAATTAGTCCACAATATTTTTGACAGTACGCTATTTTAAAAATAAAAAATTGAACGGAAATTTTAGTACCACATAAGGTCTATATTATTTTCATTATAAGCATTGTATTTGTATATTCTCTGAATTATATCCTGAGAGAAATTAAACCTATTTATTCAAGGTAGTAGATGCATCATGACTAGTCTGAGTAAAGCACCAAACAATATCTAATGTGGGAAAAGAAAAGGTACCTTCACTTAAATACAAATTCCCTTAGAACATGTAGACTCAACATGCCCCATTCCTGCAACCATTCTTCATGTCTTAGCTTCCATTCCCCTAATCATCTTTGTTGGTCTTTTCTGCGCTCTTTTCAGAGTGTCAATATCTTTTATCAAGTGTGGCCATATTAAACTACACGTTGATTATGGTTTGTCAGCCAGTTACAAATCCATCTGGTGGTGGTGCTGTCTATCCCACATTTTTCTGCCTCACCAAGAAGTAGGTTGTAGTCTCCTTTGTCCAATGCTTTGCTGAAATCTAAGGATAGGATAGGATACTATACTAATATACTAATACTATACTGTACTGTACTGTACTGTACTGTACTATACTATACTATACTATACTATACTATACTATACTATACTATACTATACTATACGCTTGCAGTCTTCTTTCACTTCTATTGTTCTTTATCACTTTTCCATGTTTTTTTTTCCCAATCTATCTCTTTCTGGAGCCCTTCCTTCCCAGGCTCCATACTAGCCGATGCATCTAGAAACAACTTGCCCTTCCATGATCTTTTCTGTCCATTTTTCCACCCAGATTTCATTACTTCTTTTCCTTCTGGTTTCAGCACCAGTTCCAGTTACCCTTTCTAATCATCTATCTAGATCAGGGGTGTCAAACTCATGGTGTCACGTGACGTATCGGGAATTTTTTTCCCCCTTCGCTAAACGGGCCATGGGTGTGGTCAGCGCATGATGCATCCAGCCCGCGGACCACAAATTTGACAGCCCTGATCAGCCCCAAATAATGCTTTGGGTTTAGGCTTCCACCTGCAGAACTCCATAATCATGATCTTATCAGTTTTGATCAGACTTAATTCAACAAAGGACGAGTTTCTAATGTACTTGAAAAGTTCTTTAAAATTCAGACATGTATCAGCAGTGAAAGTAGCTGGTGTGAATTTTATAGCACAGTAAAACATCAAGAGTTGACAACAGAAAATATTTTATAATATTTTACATGTCATCAAATGCTTTATGATTTTTGACATGTTTTATACAATTTGCCAAATTTCAGTCCTACAGATCATGGGTCCTGGATTTTGGGCACATTCTGTAAACTAGCCCATTTCAGGTACCTTGGTTGTAAACATTTTGCTCTATGATGTATCATTTCATTCAGACAGGAGAGTTTTAGTAGTATACTAGATAACTGATAACCGGGGTGGTCTGCTACCGATTCACCACGGTTTGGGTAAAACCACGGCTAATTTTATCATTTTTTAATTACCGGTTCGGTGAACCAGTAAATCCCACCCCTGGCTGGCCCTGTCCACCCACCCTGCCCCTCCCAGGAGTCCCCAGGTGGCCCATTTTGGATGCTAGGTAAGTACAGGGTCCATGCGGAGGCTCGGGGAAGGCAAAAAACAGGCCCCCCTGAGGCTCCGGAAGGTCAGAAACAGGCACGTTTCCGGCCTCTGGAGGGGCTCCAGAGCCCAGGGGAGGCCGTTTTCGCCCTCCCGGAGGCTCAAGAAAAGCCTCCAGAGCCCGGAGAAAGTGAAAAAGCCGCCCCCCCCCACCCGCACTGCGGTGCAGGAGGCCGACTAGGCCATGCCCACCATGGCCACGCCCACCCACCAACCGGGTAGAAGACCAGTTCCTGAAATTTTTGAAGCCCACCCCTGCCTGTGACCTGTTGGGTTCATTTCAAAGATATTTCCTTACCCAAAGAGAATGACCTAGGGCAAAAAAAGCAGTGAGAATGGATGCAACCTGTTGGCTTGACCGTGGCTTGCTGCACTCCAGCAGCTGATGGTGAGATTGGTCTACTTGGCCTTCAGAAGCAAGACCAGTCTATCCTACCTTCAGCAGCTGAACAAGCTAGTTTGTCCAGCCTCCAGAGAACTAGGGTAGGATCAAGCAACTGAACCTACCTCCAGGTACTAGCATAGCAACACTAAAATGAGCCACCAATTTGCCAAATTTAATCTCACAGGAGTCAGATCTGGATTTTGGTCACATTCTGCAAATTAGTCCATTTGAAGTATCTTGGTTCAAACATTGTTGTCCTCTCATGCACTGTTTTGCCAAGTTATGGTTTCAGCAGAGGTCTCCAAACTTGGCAACTTTAAGACTTGTGGACTTCAACTCCCAGAATTCTCCAGCCAGCATAGCTGGAGTTGAAGTTCACAAGTCTTAAAGTTGCCAAGTTTGGGGACCCCTGGTTTACAGACATGACAGGTTTAGTATTACATTGACAGGTTGTTCTGGGCAGTTCTGGAATGAAATATCAAAGTACAGAAATATTTATACTTATTTATTTATTGAAGTTATATTGCCACCTATTCACCGATGGAGACTTGAGGCAGCTTACAGAATATAAAACCACATTTAAAACAATAAAAACTAACAAAAAGGGAAAGCTTGATTGTATGTTGCTTGTTAGTATGTTACAGTATTTCATTAACCAAGAGCAAAGGTAGTTATCCCCTAAAGAATGACTGAAGCTTGCAGCTGTTTACTTACTTTAAAGTAAAAAAAGTATATTCATTTCCTCTGCAACTCATTGGCAAAAGTAAAGCCTTGAGCTATGCATAAAAATAATAAAGATGGGGTAGAAAGTCATTCTAGGACGGAGGTTGGCAGTCTCTAAATATAAATAAATAAATAAATAGATTAGAATTCTTTATTGGCCAAGTGTAATTGGACACACAAGGAATTTGTCTTGGTGCATATGCTCATAGTATGCATAAAAGATACATTCGTCAATAGTCAAGAATCACAAGGTACAATACTTAATGATAGTCATAGGGTACATATGAATGTTTGTTGGCAACCAAAGATTATAACTGTTCATTTTATCATTCTGTGATTTGACTTCTGTTCAGAACAGTAATTAAAACATCATTTAGAAACCGTTTCTTTTTAGTTAACAATACTATAGTAAGTTTAACTCCTGCTAATTTCAGGAACACTTTCTTGATAACAATCAAGAAGTTGTTTGCTACTGTCATTGTCCAGCCTATGCCAACATTATAAGTTCTACAGGTAAGTCTTCAACTTATGACAATTGAGCTCAAAATTGCTGCTGCTAAGTGAGACATCTGTTAAGCGAGTTTCGCCCCATTTTACGACTCTTCTTGCCACATTTATTAAGTGAATCCCTGCTGTCGTTAAATGGGTAACACAGATGTTAATTGAATATGGTTCCCCCATCGACTTTGCTTGTCAGAAGGTCATAAAAGGGGATCACATAACACCAGGACACTGCAGCTATGATAAACTTGTCAGTTTATCAAGCATCCGAATGTAAATCACGTGACAATGGGAGATGCTGCAACGGTCGTAAGTGTGAACAATGATTATAAGTCCCCTTTTTCAGGGCTGTCCCAAAGGTGCTTTTTCAAGAGGCAACTGGAGTTTCTGGCTTTTCTTTGAGGTCGTTTTGCTTCTCATCCAAGAAGCTTCTTCAGCTCTTTTTTTCAGTGCTGTTGTAACTTTGAACGGTCACTAAGCAAACTGTAACCGTTGTAAATCAAGGACTGCTCTTCTTAAGTTCCAACCCCACAAAACATTAACCCCTGAGTTCCTTCAGGGCAGAGGATGTTCAAAGTAATCAGGGAGCCCCTCAGTCTTTTCCACCTGTCTGCTGGCATTCTTGGCTGAGGAGAGGGGCGATGTTATAGATAGAATACTTTATTGGCTAAGTGTGATTTCACACACAAGGTATTTGTCTTGGTGTAAATACTCTCAGTATACATAAAGAAAAGGTACATTCATTAAGAATCAAGAGTCATAACGTACAACACTTAATGGTAGTCATAGGGTACAATCAACAATCAAATCATACTAGGAAACATTCAATATAAATCGTAAGGTTGCAAGCAACAAAGTTACAGTCCTACTGTCACAAGTGGGAGGGGATGGGTGATAAGGAGTGATGAGAAGATTAACAGTAATAGTAGTGTACAGTTTGTAAATAGCTGGACAGTGTTGAAGGAATTATTTGTTTAGCAGAGTGATGGCTTTCAGGTAAAAACTGTTCTTGTGTCTAGTTGTTCTGGTGTGCAGTGGTCTATAGCGTCGTTTTGAGGGAAGGAGTTGAAACAGTTTATGTCCAGGATGTGAGGGGTCTGTAAATATAAATAAACAGCCCTCTTTTTGACTTGTGCAATATACAGGTCCTCAGTTGAAGGCAGGTGGGTAGTAATTGTTTTTTTCTGCAGTCCTAATTATCCTCTGAAGTCTGTGTCTGTCCTGTTGGGTTGCAGAACCAAACCAGACAGTTATAGAGGTGCAGATGACAGACTCAATAATTCCTCCGTAGAACTGGATCAGCAGCTCCTTGGGCAGTTTGAGCTTTCTGAGTTGGCGCAGTAAGGACATTCTTTGTTGTGCTTTTTTGATGATGTTTTTGATGTTAGGTGTCCATTTTAGGTCATGTGATATAGTAGAAGCTAGAAATTTGGTCTCTACTGTTGATACTGTGCTGTCTAGTATTGAAAGAGGTGGTAGTATGGGAGGGTTTCTTCTAAAGTCTACCACCATTTCTACGGTTTTGTGTTCAGTCTCAGATTGTTCCGGTTACACCACGAGGCAAGTTGTATAACCTCCTGTCTGCATGCAGATTCATCCTTGTCTCGAATGAGACCACACTGTTGTGTCATCAGCAAACTTCAGTATTTTAACAGATGGATCGTTTGAGATGCAGTCATTGGTATATAGGGAGAAGTAGAGAAAGCACACGGCCTTGGGGGGGGGGGGGCTGTGCTGATTGTACAGGTATTGGATGTGATTCTGCCTAGCTTCACCTGCTGCTTTCTGTCTGTTAGGAAGCTTATGATCCACTTACAAATGTGTTCAGGTACCGCTAGTTGGTTTAATTTACTTAGAAGAGTGTCTGGAATGATGGTATTGAATGCTGAACTGAAGTCTACAAAGAGTTACTCAAAGGGGTGCACCAAAGCCCCCTCCCAAGCCGAGTTCGACTGGCTTTTTCCCTCTTTCCGGATCTTGTCTAGATCAGCTGTTGCCCGGTTACCAGGTGGGTTTCTGCTGGTCTTCCCCAACCTAAATCGCTCTGCTGGCTGAGGAATTCTGGGAGTTGAAGTCCACAAGTCTTAAAAGTTCCCAAGTCCAACCACGCTGCCAGCACTCAAACCAAACACCCCCTCCCCACCCATCAAATCTTCTTAGGCCTCTTCCCCCGCGAATGAAGGCCAGCCCTGCGCAGCTGACGTCATCCACGACGCCTCCCGGGGCTCCTCCCTGCGTTCACCAAGCTCTCCTAGCAACGGGACGCCTTGGGTATCACGCGCGGCTGGGTGGGGGGGGGGCGGAAAGGGAGGGAAAGGAGGAGGAAGAGTGGGGGCGGGGTCATCCTAGGGACGCCCTCCAATCCGCGGCGGACAAATCAGCGGCAGGGACACACTGGGGCTCTGTCGCTCGTTTCTTTCCGCGAGGTGGGTTGCGCGCGCCAAGGGCCCCGCCCCTGGAGGGCTGGGCGGTGCGGGGGGGGGGGGGGGGGGAGCGGGAGGGAGCGAAAGCTTCGCCTCGTTCCTGGTGCTTAAACGCGCCTGCGTCGCCGTCTCTTGTTTCCGCCGGTCTGGCAGCAGCTGAGGCGGCGCCGGGGAAAGTTACAACAGCGGCAGCAGAGGAAGGAGTGGCGCCGTTTGGAACGGCCGCGAGCGAGCCACCCCCCCCCTCCTCAAAATAAATAAATAAGGGCGCGGAGGGATGTGCGAACCTAGCAAGCACGATTTGGTGACTGTCTTCAAGCGGCTCCGCACCGTCCCCACGAACAAGGTAAGCAGGCAAAGGAAGCGCGCGTCAGGCTTCCGAGTGACACGTTGCAAGGCGGCGAGAGGCGGAGCGAGTGCGGTTGTGTGTGTGTGTGTGTGTGTGTGGTGGGGCCGGGAAGCCCAGCGTGTTTATCCTGAGGGTTGTGGGGGGATTGAGGGGTGGCGGGCATGGGGTGGGGGGCGAAGATCTCCAGGAAACCCGAAGGTGGGAGATGGCTGAGAGACATCCCCGAGGAAGGCAGTTTGTTCCCGGGGGTTGTGGGGGGGTGGTTTGAGCAGTGGGAAGAGTTGCGGGGGGGGGGGGGGGGGGGGGATATATTTTAAGGCAAAAATATTTTAAGGATTTTGGTGGTTGTTGGTACTATGGGAGAATACTTTACAGCATATGTGAATCTTTAGTAGCCATATGGTTTTTGAGTAACATTAATGTTCACCTCCTCTGTACTGGAATCCAAGCGAAATACCACTGATGCGTCATCACAAAATCCCCAGGACTGTAAAGCCTGCAAACTTGAAATTTGGCACATGTGTTCCTCTTGGCTTCTAGGTGCTCACTAAGAAAGGATTTTTTGAAATGGCCATCAGAGCATTAATATTTCGTATATTATTATTATTATTATTAACACCCTCTAAGGAGTTCTACTCTCCCTCCCCACCTGAAAAGAAATCTGTTCTAAAATGCAAAACACAAGCAGGGGAGAGGAGTTTCAGTTTTAGTTTCACAGCATCAAGCAGCTTTAGTACAGAACAGTTGAGCTAAACCACCCCAGGCTCCTTGCTGTCTCCTTGCTCACACAGAAAATACTGCTTCAGTTTCCAAACAGCTCTCAACTCTCTTATACGCTGACAGGGTGCCAGCCTGATGGATGCTGGTAGGCAGAGGCAGAATTCCACCCCCCTTAATTTTCCTCCCCCAAAAGGTACCCGATCACATCGTTTCGTAACAAAGCATGGGTACCCTGCTAGTAGAGTTAATATTTAGATAGGGCTGTAGGAAATCATAGACTTGGAAATTGGTGGGAAAAAACCCCACCATCTGGGAAGGCATTGGAGCTAACCACTTCTCTAGCACTACCATGAGAACGATAGGGAGGTATCCACAAAGCCCTTCAAGTACCATTAGATTGCCTTTCTGCAAATAAAGGTACAGGTTTGGGGGTTGAACTTGGGAGAGGCAAGGTCAAATCCTCATTCAGGTGGAAGACTTTAAGCTGCTCTCTGCACCTTGCAGGTATGAACATATTGGTGCCATCCCCACTCATGTCCTCCAAGCACATTGTATGATAATAATGCTGAGACTTGGATCATGCCTGCTATTTTAGTTGCATCTAAAGGGAAATTTTACTCAACTAGGTGAAGAAAATATTTCAATAAAATCACCGTAGCAAACTGGCTCCAGCTTCTGCAAGAGTGTGGACTTGAACCTGGATCTGTTGTAGTCCGAAGTCTAGGCTATTGTGTCACAGTGGTTTCCTCATAATTACTAAATCTTATGCACTTTCCAGAATAGAGTTACACAGCTTCAGTATTGGATTTAAAAACAAACAAACACCCAGAGACTTCCTGGCATAGATATTTTAACCCTCAGGAGTGTTGTACCTAAACTCCAATCCTGTTCATTCCTGGCCCTAGTGTATATTGTGGGATGCTGGCATCATTTGACAGTCTCACATTTTAGCCAGTGTTCATTTGCAAGCAATCAAGGTAATTATATACTCATGAGAACATGCTGTTTTTTCTGATCTTTCACTGGCTGAAGATATTTTATCTTTAAAATATTTTTGAAGATATTTTGAGGATATTTTAAGGATTTTGGTTGTTGTTGGTACTATGGGAGAATTCTTTACAGCATATGTGAATCTTTAGTAGCCATATGGTTTTTGAGTAACATTAATGTTCACCTCCTCTGTGCTGGAATCCAAGTTCAAAGTTCTCTTTGTGGATTCCAGTGGCATATGTTTACATCACTGTGTGGAATGCAGTCTTTAATCTTAAGCTAGAAGTTGATGAGTTGACTGAAAATGGATTTTCAGTGTATATGTGTCAAAACAGTTGTTTTCGCAATGCGCGCCTCAGTCCCATTTTATCTTAAGGTATTTGTGTTTGCTTCTGAATATTTAGACAGAAATTAATTTTATTAGATTATTAAAGTATCAAATAATTATATCCTCTTGTATTCTATGAAAATAATTTTGAAGCCGCACACTCATTTGAGTGTTTCAGAATTTTTTTCCCCAATAATTAAGCAAAGTACTAAATGCTGTATATGAAGCAAGTTCATATGAATCAGCAGCTAGCAGAGCAAATCAATTTATTTAGTTGACTGAGTTCTTAATTAAGCATTGAACAGAATTTTAATGCAAAGATTAGATTCCGAGAGCAAGGTTATTTTATGCAAGTTGGTTTCGGAACAAAGTATAGGAGCTACAGTAATAGGGAACATTTGGGATTCAAATGTTCATTGTTGGTCTCAAAGAAATGCCAGCAAATAAAGACCAGGGAAGTGCGCAGGATCAAACCAAAAGCCTCTGAGGTTTTTGTTTGTCTTCTAAATTCATAGTGATCATAGTGATCTATGGAGAGCTGAGAAATAGAAAAAACATGCTTATTTTATGGGAGATACTCTGATTAGTTTCTTTAAATAGTATCTTATATAAAAGTAGTATCTTCGTACATTCAAATGCAATTCCTAATGAATCTATTACATGTAGTTATCTGGGACACAGTACAAAAATCATCAGGCATTAACTGTTTGAAGAATTATTTAACTTCCCATTAGCTTACAGCCTTGAGATCTGTGATGGTCTTGTGTCCAAGAGCTAATCAGGTTTACCCTGCTTTGCTTTTTGAAGTAATCCAAGGTCTGTAAAGTCTTCCTGTTCTGTGCCATTTTAATGTTGGTTGAAACATATGTTCATATGCAGTTATTGGAAAATAAGAACAGCTAGCATGATGCAGCAGTGTATCTAAGTCCATATGTTGTTTTACCATAATCCTATTTTGTGTATGTTCAGGTAGTGCTTGACTTACACCAGTTAATTTAGGGACTGTTCAAAATTACAATGGCATTGAAAAAAGTGACTTATGACTTTTTCACACTTAAGACCATTGCAGCATCCCCATAGTCATGTCATCAAAATTCAGACACTTGGCAACTGACTCCTATTTATGACAGCTGCAGTGTCCTGGGGTCCTGTAATCCTCCCCTTTTGTGATCTTCTGACAAGCAAAGTCAATGGGGAAGCCAGATTCACTTAACAACCATGTTTAATAACTGCAGTGATTCACTTAACTGTGGCAAGAAAGGTCATAAAATGGGCAAAATTCACTTAACAAATGTTTCACTTAGCACCAGAAATTTTGGGATCAATTATGGTAGTAAGTGGAGGACTTACCTGTATTACTATAGTCATTATATCCATTATAAGTTAGTGGGAACTCAATGCAGCCCAAATAATTTTGGGTATACTTTTCATTTTTTTTCTGACCTGCAGCCTAATTATCAGAGAGATACATAATTTATTGGAGAAATCTTGCAGTTAATCATGGTGGTTAATTAACTTCTTGCCTTCCCTGAAATTTCAAGTCATTGTTTGAATACTTTAGAATTATTTCTCTTGCAAACAACATAGGAATATGTTAGGTTTCTTATTGTATTTATTGATTTGCAAACATTTATGTCTGTATCTGTATCCATCTATCTGTGCGCTTGTTAGGAATTTCTAAGAGGTGCAATATCAGAAATACATGCCACTTGAATTATATAGATAGCCCTTGTTTCATTAATTGAAACTGCTTAACACCTGATTTCAGCTTTGCTTTGCAGACCTTTACAGAAGGTTGTAAATTTGAAGATTGGTCTTAACGTTACTTTTTCATCACTATCATAGCTTCAAATGGTCATTTAACAAGGCAATCATTAAATAAGGGCTACCTGTCTATGTTCGGTTAAGTTAAAAATATTTTAAATATCGGATTTAAATATTTTAAATGTCAAATCTTAGATGTCAGATTTTAGTATTTCTGTTACTTCCCTTACCTCATTATGCAATAGAAACAACCCTGTAGGTAGGTTAATCAGTTGGTTCACTTAATACATTAAGTGTTTCATATTGTTTAAAAAATCTTAGTGGACTAAGAGTCTTGTAGCATCTTTCCCACCATTCAAAAGCTTATAGTATTTTAATAAAACTTGTTAGTTGGAAAAGGTTCTACAAGACTCCTGATTTTATGCCACCATAGGCAAACAGGGCATTCCTGTAGTGGTCTACATCCAGTCTGTTAAACTTTCTTATCCTTGATTTTATTTGGACTTAACTACCATTATAGAAATCGAATGAATGAATGCAAATGAATAAATAAATACCTTTCAGTTAGACCTAAGTTCCATTTATTTGATCTGAATTCTTAAAAATAACATTTTGCTAATGTACCTAAGTAGCAGCTAAATTGATGAGTGGTATTTGCATTCTGTGTGCATTTTGCAGATCTTACTTATTTAGGAGGCAAAAGTATGCTGGGTAATAATAACAATTAAATTGTGGCTGTTTTCTAGTTATGTTTTGACTGTGGAGCAAAAAATCCAAGCTGGGCCAGCATAACATATGGAGTTTTCCTCTGTATTGACTGCTCTGGGACTCATCGCTCACTTGGAGTTCACTTGAGTTTCATTCGGTAAGCAATTCATTTAGTAATGCATGTGGTTCATTCTTGGGGGGATATTTTCCTTAGTTTTTGTATTTATATGTACATATATATTTCCTCATCTTGTAGAAAAGATGCTTCTTGGTTCGAAACTGTGTCTTGTTTCTGTTAGTTGTCTTGATTGTGCACTGATACAAAGTAAGTCGAAATAGTCTGGCACATCTTTCATGAAAGTATATCTTACATGAATTTCAAAATATAGAGTATCAGATGAAAATTTCATTTTCAAGCTAAACTTTGGTTAACATTTAAGCTGATTTTGGTCAGTCTGACATATATGTTTCCCATAGCTTTTGTTTTTCTTCTTAAAATATTTGCATGATTTGTTAGCTGTACTGGTATCTAATATCAATTGTAGCTCTTCTATTATGTCTTAGGGCTTTATGCCTTAACTCTTTTGAATAATAAGTTGCAGGTCATAATTTAAAATACTTCAACTTTACTGTGAGTATTGTTCTGCAGATCTGATAAAGAACAATCCTATACTCATTTCCAACTAAAATGGATGAAGTTTATATATCAAATAGAGCAGTAGCTTTCCCCAAGATTGGCTATTTTTGTTTGACAATCCAACTCCTGTAAAGTTGAATACTGACATACTCATTGGGCGATTGTTCTACAATCGACTATATAACTTTTAAAATATTTTCAGCAATTCATTGGCTCTCCATCGTTGAATATAATTTCATTTGTTTCTTGTGCCAGTAATGCTTTTTGCATATCTTATATTTTTCCTGGCTCACAGTATTTTCAAAAATCCATGCAACAAGTATTCGGAAGGAGATGCTTGATTCCTTACAGCAATAGCACTTAGACTTATATACCGCTTTATAGTGCTTTACAGCCCTCTCTAAGGGGTTTACAGAGTCAGCATATTGTCCCCAACAATTTGGGTCCTCGTTTTACCCACCTCGGAAGGATGGAAGGCTGAGTCAACCTTGAGCATGGTGAGATTTGCAATAAGCAGAAGTAAAAAAGCTTTCCTCCCAAATCCTTAACCCAGGGGTCTTCAAACTTGACAGCTTTAAGACTTGTGGATTTCAGCTCCCAGAATTCCTCCTCCAGTCATATTAGCTCAGGAATTCTGGGAGTTGAAGTCCACAAATCTTAAACTTGCTAAGTTTGAAGACCCTTGCCTTAACCGTTCCATATAGAGCTTGATTTCCGGGCTGTTTACCAGCTGGGAAATCCTCTTCTGAACTTGTTCTAATCTGTAATTGTCCTTTTTCAACTATGGTGTTTAGTACTGGACACAGTATTCCAAATAAAATCTGACCAAAGCGAAATGGAGTGGAACCATTTTTTTCTATGATGTGGACTTATATTTCTGTTAATATATGCCGATAGTGGTTGTTTTTAGTAAAAGCATCATACTACTGATTTAATATTAAATTTGTGTTTACAAGGATACCCAGAGCATTACATTTTTCCTATCAAAGATACAGAACTTTAAATTATTTATGTCAAATTCCATTCTACTCCTTTCATTCCATACTTCAAGCTACTCTAGAACTTCTTGGATCTTGTTTCATGGCTTTTGTTTATTTAACTAAATGGAGTAAAGAAAAATGGTAGAAAAAAGAAAGAAAAAAGAACAAAATAACCACAATATAAATTTTCTTTGTGTATATAGGTATATAGAGTTCTATGTTATTCGTTCATTAAATTTTTACAACACCCATCTTAGTTAAGTGCTTCTGGGTGGTTTTCAAATATCTATATTGCATCGCTACAATGGTTTCAATAAAGAATAACCATATTTCAAGCAGAGAGTTTCCTAGGCCCTTCTCTTTCCTCTCCCCACGAGCTAGCCCTCTATTTCCTTTTCGTGAGAAGTTGAAAAATTAAAAAGTTAAAAAGTTCTATCTTCTCACCATGGCTCATTAGAATTAACTACCTTGTTTTTTCAATGGGTCTGTATCCTCTTCGGCTTTTGTTTTACTTCTAACATGCCCCCAAGTCTCCTTGTTGCTTTTGGTGCATTTCAAAATATATGCTGCTTTGTTGTTTTTCAAAAAAAGAGCTGTGGTGGCGCAGTGGTTAGTATGCAGTATTGCAGGATAATTCTGCTGACTGCCGACTGTCAGCCGTTCGGCAGTTGGAGTCTCACTGGCTCAAGATTGACTCCATCCTTCCAAGGTCAGTAAAGGAAGGACCCAGATTGTTGGGGGGCACCATGCTGACTCTGTAAACTGCTTAGAGAGGGCTGTATAGCTCTGTGAAGCGATACATAAGCCCAAGTGCTATTGCTATTGGTATGAAATGGTTCTTCATAAATTACTTCTATTTTTTGGTTTTAGATCTACAGAATTAGACTCAAACTGGTCATGGTTTCAGTTGAGGTGCATGCAAGTTGGAGGAAATGCAAATGCTGTAAGTACATTGAAACGTGCTTGGTTTTTTCCCCCTGGTTTCTAGGAATCAGTAATTATTAACTGATTTATCAGGATTCTATGCATATTACGAATTACATTTCATGCATTTTCCATCATTCAGTATAACTGCCAGATATGCCTTCACAATCTTGAAAACCAGAGAAATAAATGAATAAGATAGTTCTGGCTTCTTATTCAATTTGTTTCTTTGACTTTCAAGATTGCTCCACTCAATTGCCTGTTAGTTGCTCTAAGCATCTCTTGTACTTATATAAAAGGATAGAAAATATACAAAATGTAACTCATAAAAATCTTAGTATGCATAGGACCCTGATAAATGAATAGACATTTTAGAAAACAATGGGAGTTGATCATGTCTAAATCCTCTGGTTTCAGGAAATCTACCTTTAAGCCAAATGAAAGATGAGATATTCAGTTACTGTACCAGAATAATCCAGGCAGTAGTTTTTCCCATGACATTTTATATTAGCAAAGAAACTGGGTATGTCTAGTTCAATGAAAAGAAGGACTAGGAATGACATGATAGCAGTGTTCCAATATCTCAGGGGCTTCCAGAAAGAAGAGGGAGTCAACCTATTCTCCAAAGCACCAGAAGGCAGGCTAAGAAGCAATGGGTGGAAACTAATCAAAGAGGGAAGCAATCGAGAACTAAGGAGAAATTTCCCGACAGAACAATTAATCTGTGGAACAACTTGCCTCCAGAAGTTATAAATGCTCCAACACTGGAAATTTTAAAGAAGATATTAGATAACCATTTGTCTGAAATGGTATAGGGTTTCCTGCCTGAGTACGAGGTTGAACTAGAAGACTCCAAAGTGTCTAGTCTAGTCTAGTCTAATCTAGTCTAGTCTAGTCTATTCTTTAAAACAGTCTTAATGAAGTAGACTCCTGAGATACCAAGGATAGCCAGGAAAATAATGAATTGGATTATAGAATAAATCAACCTAGAATTCTTAAGACACCAATGACCAGGCTCAAAATTGCAGGTTGTCCTCAACTTAAAACAATTTGTTCAGTGAGTGTTCAAAGTTACAGTGGCACTGAAAAAAGTGACTTATGACCATTTATCACACTTACGGCCATTGCAGCATTTCCATGGTCACATGATCAAATGCTTGGCAACTGACTCGTATTTATGACAGTTGCAGTGTCCTGGGTCATAATCACCTCCTATGGTTACCTGATTGCCATTTGCAACCTTCATTGCTGGCCTTCCATAAATAAGCAAAGTCAGTGAGGAAGCTGGCAGATCACAATGGCAATCATATGATGTCATGTCTAACCATGCAACATTTACCTAACAATCACAATTAGAGCTACTGCTGTAAATCAGGTAAGAAAAGCAAGGTTTTACACCTAGGTAGGAAAAACCAAAGGTACAAGTACAGATTAGGCGAAACCTGGGTCAAGATGAAACCTGGTGAGATGGACCTTGGAATACTAGTGGACAATCACTTGAATATCAGCCACCAGTTTGTAGCAGCAGCCAAAAAAGCTAGTACATGCAAAACTTAATCATTGTCTATAAGAAATAAAGACGTATGGATAGTGAACATGGCAGTACCTGGAGGCAGCAGAAGAGAAGAGAAGGAACTGGAAACAATAACAAAAATGTTAAAATGAGCTGGCAGACATGATTTTGGAACCACTGGACAATATATTTCAAAAATCCTAGACCACCGGGGGAATTACCATAGGATTGGAAAAGAGCTGATGTGGTTCCAATCTTCAAAAAGGGCAAAATGGACCCAGGAAACTAGAGACCAATTAGCCTGACATCAATACCTGGGGAGTTCCTGGAAAAGAAAATCAAGCAGCTGATTTGTGAGCACCTAGAAATGAAAAAGCTGATTATTAGAAGTCAGCATGAATTCTTAAAAGCAGGTCATGCCAAACAAACCATATTGCTTTCTTTGATAAAATAACGAACCGAGGAAATGTGGTGGATGTAGTATACTTGGACTTCAGTAAAGCATTTGACCGCAGGCTACCTCTCGGTAAGATAGAAAAATGTGGTATAGACAGATCACCACCAGCTGAATTTGTAACTGGCTGACCAATCACGCTCCATGTGTAGTCCTCAATGGAACTACACTGACATGGATGGAAGGACGCAGTGGGGTTCTGTCTTAGGCCCACTACTCTTCAACATCTTCACGAACGGTTGAGATGCAAGGATAAAACTGGAATTCATCAAATTTGTGGATGACACCAAGCTGGTGGGGGAATAGCAATCACTAGAAGAGAGGCTCAAGATCCAAAAGGATCTTGACAGACTTGAACACAGGGCCCTATCTGTTGTTGTTGTTACTTGTGAAGTCGTGTCCGGCCCATTGCGACTCCATGGACAACATTCCTCCAGGTCTTCCTGTCCTCTACCATTCCCCTGAGTCCATTTAAGCTCACGCCAACTGCTTCAGTGACTCCGTCCAGCCACCTCATTCTCCGTCATCCCCTTCTTCTATTGCCCTCAATCGTTCTCCGCATTAGGCTCTTCTCCAGGGAGTCCTTCCTTCTCATGAGGTGGCCAAAGTATTTGAGTTTCATCTTCAGGAGCTGGCCTTCTAAAGAGCAGTCAGGGTTGATCTCCTCTAGGAGTGACCGGTTTGATCGCCTTGCAGTCCAAGGGACTCATAGGAGTCTTCTCCAACACCAGAGTTCAAGGGCCTAAATTCTTTGGCCCTATCTAACAAACTCCGTTCCGAGGAAAGTAAGACTTTGTACTTAGGCAAGAAAAACCAGATGCCCAGGTATAGAGTAGATGGAGAGAGGGGGCAGGGGGTTGCACCAAAAGACCTCCAAGGTCTCTCCCATCTCTGCTGTTTTGTGTTCTTCTGAAAAATGAGCTAGTCAGCAATGACACTGAGGATTTTTTAAAAAACAATATCTTCTCGGTGTTTTCTTTTTAGTCTGCATTCTTTCATCAGCATGGTTGCGCCACAAGTGATACCAACGCCAAGTATAGCAGTCGTACTGCACAGCTCTACAGAGACAAGATTAGATCTCTTGCAACTCAGGCAACACGGAAATATGGCACAGATGTAAGTAATGTACATATTTTACAGTGCTTACTGATTTTGTGTTGTTCAGTCATCTTAATGTTTATAAAGCTAGAATGATATGGTATTGTATCATGGTATTCATATGTATCAAAATGTTGCAGGTAATTTGAAAAGAGAAAGCATATTGTATTTTCAGTATCAATAGTATTATCTTTTAAGCTTTGCTTTTCTGCTTATTATAACCAGTTCATATGCAAAGATAAAATATACCATACTGTTCTTGTTGTACGGCAGTGTTCACACCCTTTGTTGGATCCCTACCAGTAATTTGCAAAAACGGCTGCATTTGACTGAAATGATTGAGCCTAATTGTTGGGGCTGAGATCCTGGGCAGAAGTTAAGGAACCCTTGATTGCATTAAGGAACCCTTGATAGACAACACAATTAAGCCCCAAATCTCTGTTGCTAAGCAAGATAGTTCAATGAGTTTTGCCCCTATTTTACAGCCTTTCTTGCCAGCGATGTTAAATGAATCACTACAGTTGTTAAGTTGGTAAAAGAGTTGTTCAGTGCATCTGGTTATCCCATTGACTCTGCTTGTCTTGTCAGAAAGTCACATGAAGCAGGACACTGCAGCCATTATAATAAATACATGTCAGTTGCAAGGAGCCTAAATTTTGATCACATAGTCATGGGGGTGCTGCAGCAGTCATACATGTGGAAAAATAGCCAGAAGACACTCTTTTCTACTGCTGTTGTAACTTTGAACAATCACTAAATGAATATTTGTAAGTCAAGGATTCTCAGTAATGAGTGCACTCCAGAACACCTTTTCCGAATTTAATCCAAAAAGCTTTATAATTACAAGCATCAGCAATTTCATCTTGTTCACAGCCAATTTGTCCGGTATTGTGTAATGGTTTCAGAAAACCGGTAGAACAATACTTTTTTTTCTCCATTAGGAAACAGATGAAAAATGTAGTGCGAGCACTTTAAACAAAAAGAAAAGCAAAGAATCCTGGAAAACATCTCACTTGTGTTTATGTTATTGTGTATTTTAGTTATGGATCGATGGCTCCGGAGCCCCTCCTTTATCACCTCAAGAGAAAGAAGAGGACTTCTTCGCCTCTCATAGCTCTACTCAGGTATAGAATAAATGAAAAGTTTTTAATTTCATGGAATTTTACCTATATGTGAATGATAGGAGGTAAGCTAGTGTGGACATCAATAGAGATGTCTCAGTGGCACCTGAAATATTGGTTTACCCCTGTTATATTCCTATATGTCACAGTAAAATGCTGAAAGTTGATCGTGACTCCCCAAAGTCTTCTCCAGGTTAAATAAATAAATGTGTCTAGCAGTTTTTCTTATGTTATTTCCTTTCAGCCTCTCGGTCATCTTGGACAGGTTTTAATTCATCATTGCCCTTTCTAAAACAGTACACTATAGTCTAGGTCAGGGGTCAGCTTTGCTGGCTGAGGAATTCTGGGAGTTGAAGTCCACAAGTCTTAAAGCTTCCACGGTTGGACACCCCTGGTCTAGGTACATTCTATTCAATTTAGAATAAAAAGGAACAGTAAGTACTCCTGTCCAGGGTGGTCTCTCATCCTATGCTTATCCCTTTGATTCTTCCTGTCGAAGTGACATTGACCCTGCTAAAATTCTTTATGCTGATTTCCAGACCCTCCTGAATCTTGTATTGAGTAATACAAAGCCTAGAACAGGGCTGAGGAATTATGGCCCTTTTATGACTTGTGGACAACTCCCAGTATTCTTGAGCCAGCCATAGTTCCCGACCTCTGACCTAGAACAAAGTCCTGTGATAAACAACCCAACACCTTCCAGCTTAATTCTGTTGTGGTTAGCCAGCAGCAGGTGCGGACGGCTGAGGAGAACGAGGGCTCAGATGAGGGGCCAGGACCATTTGGGAGTAGACTGCTGCCTTCAGAGATTGTGGGGGCTGGCAGCAGTGATGAGGAGGTTCCCGAGGAGCCTGTGCCAAGTGCGCGTGCGCACAGGGCTGCTCGCAGGAAAGAGCAGCTGCAGCAGCACAGGCAACTCAGGAGTAAGGCTGCAAGGGAATGGCCTCTCCTTCAAGAAGATAAAAGCCAGCTGTGAATTGGACGTTCTTTGTAGGAAGCAAAGACATTTTGAAACTCGAGACTTGTGGACATTGCAGTATTTTAGTTGGTATTTGAAGACTCTTGTGTTGTAAAATATTTCTAGCTAACCTGTTATTCTTGGCAGCCTCGCACAGTTTTGGTGAGGCTCATGCTTATCAAAGTTAATTAGTTTGCAGCAGCCTTTTAACCGGGGATTTGTAAGAATCATTAAAAGGTTTCTGTTCCTTTTGGTTTGTGTTGGTTTTATTGGACAAGGGTTTGGGTCAGAACAAATCCATTGGTTACAGTTGTTCAGCCATCTCATTTTCACCTAGTGGTAGTAACATTCTAATTCACATGTTGCCAGTAGAACCTAATGGGGAATTTATTGGGTGCTTCGCTGAAATCAAAATATGCTAAGTCCATCACAATCCCATGGTCATATTAGAGATAGTCGCTTGGCCTAATTTATTTTTGACAAATCTGTATTTATTTTTTAAATGCCTATCCTCCCCCTCCTCCTCCTCCTCCTCCTCCTCATTCTCTTCCTCCTCTTGCCAACTGGGCCCGCAGTACTTGCTGATGCTGTCAATCCATCTTGTTTTAGGTTTCTTTCATGGACGGTTTTTATCAAGTTGGATCCATTCTATGACTGCGTTGGTCTACCTGCCATCAGTTCTTCTTCCTATGTGATCAGTCCATTTCCATTTCCATTCTTTTACTCTCTGGATGATATTGTATACTTTCATTTGTTCTCTAATCCATATATACACACCCACCCATCACATTCCTCCTCCTCCTCCTCTTCATCGTTTTCACTTGACTACCTTCTTTGTCCTGGGAAATTCCTTGATGCAATTTTCCCTCTTCAGGGGCTTCCTGTATCTGATCCAAGATTTCACCATTTTCCCTGATAAAATAGAAGATGACCAGCTTTGCCTCAGGATGCTTTACCTCCTCTTCCAGGAGAGCAATCAGCCTTCATTTATAGCATATAGAAATTCTGTCTGTGGAAGAAAAGCAAACATGACACATTTTCTGCAGGCCATAAAAGAAATTCTGTTTATCTTCATGCAAAAAAAAAAAAAAAAAAATCCTGTTTGTTCACTCTTTAAGCTTGCTCATTGAAAAGTTGGCTGCTTTATTTGTCCCCTGAACCTATCTTAGATCTAGGTCAGCCACAAGCAATATCTGTCACACAGGGAGCAGTGAGTATCATTCCAAGAACCATCAGCAACCCTTCCAGCTTCCTAGCTCTTCTGCTGTCTCCCCTCTCCTTGTCCTGTTTCTTCTCAGTTGAATTCCCTGTCAGGCCCCTGCCTGGTCTATCTTCACGTGCTCACTAAAGCCAATATAATTCTGATTGAATACAAATCCATTTAATTTGGGTTAGAAGAAATCTCACAGACTAAATGTATTTTTTGTACATGCAAATTGATAGTAAAATATTTCACTACCTGGGACTTGAAACTAAAACTTCCTCATGATTCATTCATATAATTTTTCAGCTGTATTTCTGAATGAGATGTCAGAAAAACATCTTAACATATAATGTCTTAATATCTTATATACATGAAAATTAATCTGTACCTAAACTAATTCTGATGGGCTTAATAATTCTTTGGACTTCAACATTGCTAATAACTTGGATTCCCCCCTCCTCTTTTTTGTAGGTTATTGACCAGAAATCAGCACCACAGGAAACAATTAATCCACTGGAGAATTCTTCAGAAAATAATTCAGAAAGCAAAGACGGTATAGTTGATCAACTTCATTTCTAAAATGTGTGACAAAATGTAGCGAATATGTAAAAATTCCTAAATCCTGTTGATTGTGTTTTTATAAGATCATTGGACAAATAGCCTTTATCGGTTGTAATGCTTTTAAAAACATATACAAAACTACTTACGCAAAACTAGATGAGTTTTGCTGCTTTATAACCCATGCCAGTTATTGTCACACATGAAAACTTCTACAAATATGACTGTATCTGATAAAAATATATATGTTTTAAATTTGCCTATTATAATCAGTTCAGATCCAGATAAATTTTCAGCATACTGCGACTGTCTTTAATTCAAATAGGTATGAATGGAAGTTGACTATCTGGGAAAACAGGAAGTTGAATTGACTGTACATGAATCAAGGATTTAGAACTGTATTAATCTTTAACATTTATATATATGCTGTTTTTTTATATTTCTAGAAGATCCAGAATATGGACCAAGTGTTGATTATCTTAGTGTATCGCCTGAAGCTTCTTTAGGTAAACAGTACAGAAGAAATGATATCTGAATGCCTACATATGTAGCAGGATGGATAAAACAGTACAAATCTTACGCTGACTTGTCAGCAATTTCATCGTAATAATTATCCTAGCCCTCAACAGCTAACTATTACTAGAGTTCAGAAGATGCCATGAGTCAGATTTATACATTATTGCCACACATATATTACTGAGACATGTTTTAGAACACAACTTTCTTCTGATAGCATCTGGCTTACTTGTAGCTGTTTTTATTTGAGGATGTAGTGACTAGCATCATATAGAGCCACGATTCTGAATATTCTGTATGGAATTTTTGCAGTTCAGCCAGAAATATCTTTCCACTTAGAGTATTCTGAGTCTTCATTCCTGATGTTAGTTTTTCAGTTGACATGCTGCATCCACATTTAAGCTATATAAAATTTAAATGAACAAACAGAATAAAGACACACTTCCTTTAGGAGATCAGAAATATGCTAACCTTGTTATCGGCATATTTCTGGCAAGATGGAGAAATTTAAATTGTTTCTTCCTTCATTCTGAAATGGTACAACTCCCACACATCAGGACCATATGCTATTTCTTGGGGTGTGGGTGAGGGGGAGTTTGGTAAATTGGCTCTTAGAATCAATACAGCTGCATTCTTGTATAAATGCATGTGTTTGTTTAGTTAGTGATACATATTTTTTATCTCTTATTTTAGCCAACTTGGAGAAGGTAAATACTTCAGGCACGGCACCTAACAAAGGTGACTGGATGTTTTAGTTATCCTGTTTTGCTGCTTCAGTTTCCACATAGTTCTGTGGAATAGAGCATTATATTAATTTTCTTAGTTTGTATTATCAGTCTCAGTAAATATACCTACATGCTTCTAATTTCTTTTTCAATTTTGTCTTGCTTCTAAGCCTACTTTTTTTAAAAAACTTTTTTTGATGTAACTTAAAGAGCATTGAGAGTTATTTGGTAGCCCCGTATTTTAACATATTACATCTTTGAGGTGGCTTTCATATGGAAATCCAAAACTAGTTTGCATGCAGCTGACTACACAAAACTGGCAATAGATGATGACTGCTCTGTTATTTATTTTATTGTGTTGATATCTGTTACATTTTCTGAACAGTTTATTGCTTGTAGGCCATTTGTGTTACTTGGCCTTTGAACTTAAGCAAGAATCCTATTCTTTCGGGATTCAATTTTGTCCTCCCACTGAAGGAAGTTATTAGGAACTAGAAGTGACACCATAATTTTTTCTCACTCTGTTTACATAGAACAAAGCACTACATGTTCAGTGCTTTTTTATTTTATTTTTCTTTTAGCAGTTTAGAGTGGCATATAGCAACTAATTCCTAATCAGATCCATTTACCTGGTCAGCAGTAGCAGTTGTAGATAACATTAATAGGTAAATCTTGTAGCAAAAGTGGATTTACTTGGTGAGAAATGGCATAATTTCTTCTAAGTTTATTTTGGCAATAAATGTATGCTACATTGAAGCTTTTAGCCACTGCCTCAAAATATTCAAGGTTCCCATATTGAGATTCCCATAGTTCTCTTTTGTCAGATGTTTTCCTGACAGTTGCATATTAGATGGAAGAAAGTGTTATGTTCTGGCTTTCATTTATTTGGAGAACTGTTCATAAACAGTTAAAACTAAGCTGATCCTGTTTAGAGGTACAACATTTCATGATTTACAGAATCATTACCTGGTTTTGTACATGGGTTATATCTTTTTCTATGTATTAATTATCTCCTTTTCCTTCTCACTTCATTTACTTTTGTTAGCTGCTTTCACTCCCTTGGTTCTCTTAGCTTTTTTGTCCATTGTCTCATATGAAATTAACTGGTTATTCTATAGTGGCATTCTACTAGCTCAGCAATCCATTGTTTTTAATCATACATCCCCCAACCGTTATGTTATCATTTCTACTTTTTCTGTCCAAGTGCAGTAAAATGATGGTCAGCCACATATGCACATCTGGTAATAATAAATAGGTATCTTGTTTGCTGTAATATTAATAGCAATAGCACTTGTAAAGCACTTACCACTTCGCAGTGCTTTATAGCCCTCTCTAAGCGGTTTACAGAGACATCATATTGCCCCCAACAATCTGGGTCCTCATTTTACGACCTTGGATGGAAGGCTGAGCCTGTGAAAATTGAACTGTTGGCAGCCAGCAGTCAGCTGAAGTAGCCTGCAATACTGTATTCTAACCACGGCGCCACCTCAACTCCTAATAATATACCATGTACCCTTTAGTCTAGTCCTATTGCCATTGCCAGAAGTTGTAAATGCTCCAACACTGGAAGCTTTTAAGAAGAGATTGGATAACCGTTTGTCTGAATTGGTGTAGGGTTTCCTGCCTAAGCAGAGGGTTAGACTAGAAGACCTCCAAGGTCGCTTCCAACTCTGTTATTCTATTCATTTTTATTTTATGTCTCAGTTGGTAAAACCATTGAGGGACTTAATTGATTTACTTGTATACAAATATGCAGTTATTTTATTCAACTTAAGATGTCATCTTACTTTCCCCTAAAAAAAACTCTTATGTAGACATTCTTGAGAAACATATTTCCCTTTTTATATTCTTTTCTTGAAAAATATAGAACTTTGGAAATGCATTGATTTATAAGCAGCTGCCTAGGATTCCCTTTCTCTGGCTGATTATATATTTTTAAATGTTGAAAACTAATTCCATATATTGTATTGCTTTTCCTAATTCTTTAAGTTAAATGGGCAATTCTGGTGTTTTTTTATAGATATCACTGATAATGCTAATTTCATCCTGTTACAATGTGTATAATTCATAGATTGTGTATTTTTCTTACAGAAATCAGCTGTGTGATGAAGAAGAAACCAAATCAAGTAAAAAAGGGAGTAAGTGTTTAGACTGATATTTTCAAGACTCTCTTTTAATGGGCTGCTCAAGAGATTCATGCACTTTTTTATTTGGTTGTGGAAGTTACTATATGAAGAGTTGTGTAGCTCTGAATTAATCAAATTAGTCCTCAGTAGCTAGGCCTGTATGCAGAACGTTTTCTTAAAAAGTGACACTCTATTATTAACTAGGTGAAGGGGGGGTGGGGGAGAGAGAATTGAACATTCCTCATGAGATTCATACCCACTGCTCTTAAATTGGCCCATGGGCCTCCACTACAATAGTATGGAGACAAATTGTGAAAACTCTGATGATGGTGTAATGCATATAAAACAACTTACACCAGTCAAGTAACAGGAAACAATGTTAACTTAAATAATGAGGGAGGGCACCACGCACCTGTGGTCTCATTGAACTCATTGTGGCTTGCTGCAGATTCCACTGGACTGGGTTATACATCCATTTGGGTGTCTATGGAGATTCTCAGTCATCCAGGTCATGGTAGTCCCAAAGATGCTTTTTCAAGGGGCAACTGGACTTTCCAGCACCATCCAGTCAGAGCTGAAGAAGCTTCTTGGATGAGAAGCAAACTGTCTTCAAAGAAAAAGCAGAACATCCAGTTGCCTCTTGAAAAAGCACCTTTGGGACAACCATTTAGAGAGATATTTGCCAGTCTTATTTCCATGTTATATAGGACTGACTTGGGAGCAAGCAGTAGTAATTTGATAAGCATTTTCTTAATTCCATGCATGCCTAGTCTGCTTTTCTATATTTTAGATGTAAGCTGCATTTCATGTGATTTATATCTAGCCACACAAGCAGGTGCAATTAGAATGCATTTTTTTTTTATATTCATCTTACAATGTTGCTCTACCAAATTTGACATCCAAATTGTTCATTAACTGCTTTCAATGCAAAATTGAAACCCCCCCTTTTTTTATACTGTGGTAACTACTAACCGTAGATTTGCCTCATCCAGCAATCAAAATATAATAGTGGCATATCACCTACAAATTACAGCTCACAGCTCAGGAGTTGCAAGGCTGCCCTAGGAACTGCAAAGCATCGTGAATGCAGAAGCCAAGCCTTGCTGGTATGGTTTCCCTTGCCTTTACTAGAGCGGTTTCCTTTCCATTTTGTCCTTAAAGAAATAAAACACGAAATAACATGCATTCTTACAGTGTGATAACTTTTTTCATTTTTCCTTCACATCCAAATTAAAGGTTGGAGCTAAGAAATGTGGTTTGGGGGCCCAGAAAATGAGCAGCAAGAGTTTTAATGAGATAGAAAAACAAGCACAGGCAGTAGATAAACTGAAGGAAGCTGGCAAAACAACAGAGAAGGAAGAACCACTGTAAGTAGAGTTTGCTTGGCGCCTGTTTAGATTCTCTCTTAAATGGGTATTTGAGTGGAAAATGTTTGAATACTCTCTGATACCAGGAATTTTAGGGATGATACCTAATTTACTTCGGTATAGGCCCTGGAACTAAGGCAGCGTGATGGCTCAGCAGTTAAGATGCTGGGCTTGTAGGCTGGAAAGCTGACATCCCAGGTTCAAGACTTTGCTTAGCTCCTGCCCACCTAGCAATTCAAAAGCATGCAAATGTGAGTAGATAAATAGATACCACCTCAGTGGGGAGGAAACAGTGCTCCGCAACATCTAACTGGCCACATGACCGCAGAAATGCCTTCAGACAGCAGTGGCTCATGGGCTCAAAATGTAGATGAACTGTAGTCGGCAATGGGTGGAATAAAATCCATAGAGACTCCTTTCCTGCCTGGAATTAAATAATAGTATATCATCATTTTTGAAAAATTGATCTAATACCTTAGAACTTAATAGGCTGTTTTTATCATATATGAATGTACTGTATGGGTCAATTTCTGAATAAATCTGAATTCACTTCATAATCAGTTGAGACAACAGAATTATAATAAAATTTCATTAAAAACATGAATACACTTTATTTTAAATTGCAAGGAGAAAATGGAGCAAACATTTACACTGTGTATTGCTTTTTTCCTATATATACTTTCTGTTACTTTCATGGATAGAATAGACATTGTATTTAAATAAACAGAGCTGCCATTTGCAAATATTCCTCCAAGTTGCACACACTTTTCTTGATCAATTATGGAAATGTTTATCCAGGTTCAATGTTTACAAAAATGTACTAAGCTTTCAAAATGGGATGCCAAGCTACTCTTAATGACTTCACTTCTTTATGACATTGATTAAATGCTTGTTTTGCAATTTGCTAAAAATTCTTCTAAAAGTAGCTTAGAAAAATTATTGCATCTTTCTTTGAAGAACTATGTTCTGATATTTTTGATTTTGTTAATGCTGTCAGACAGAAATAACAGTAAGTGTGATTTTTGTCTTGTAAATGAAAACTCAAAAGAATATTTATTGAAAGCTTTTGTAGCATATTTGCATGGCTTTCAAGATAGGAATTAATATCACATAACTTCATAGTCAATGGATTTCTTCAGATAGCTGTTCATTTGTCTAATTAGTAATTCATTCATTTCCCTTTACCTGTTATCTCTTTGATATCTGTTTAATAAAGTATCTGGTAATCTAAGATACTTTCCTACAGATCACTTTTATACATCTTCATTTCTATTCCACACCATTACAAAGGATTCATTAAATACACCAGGAGTATATGCTAAACTAGTAATTTGTTATGAAAATCAAATATATATAAAATTGATTCATATTATTTTCCTAATATGTGTGTTCATACACTGCACTATCCAACTGTTATGATTTGTGTAGAGTTCTCTATACTTATAATTTGCAGCAGCTGCTCTCAGATTGAAGATATTCCAATACTAAGAAACATTCAGGATATTTTTACCCAGTATGTCTTCTAAATTGGCATTATATTTTACCTATTGAAAGGGGCAATAACATGAGGTGTTTATTAGTAGGGGTTAATCTAGAGGATCCTTAAATCCACTATAAATATTCCTGCTACTTGAACAGTTAAGAAAAAAGTTCATCTCCATTTTAGATTAAGTTTAGCAGCATAGCTAATTTAGGACAAACCATTATTCTCAACTATGATTAGCAGAAGCAAGCAAATGTAGTTTATAAAACGTTAGCTTGTTTTAACTAATCATAGCTAGGTGCAGGCACAGTTAAATTCTAATTACTGACACCTGAAACAATTGTTTCCAGCTTTTTCTTCACAATCCTTCTGGAAAAGGTAGGCCTTAATCATTAACAGTGCATGGGGATGGCAAGTCGTGCCCATCTTCCCCTATTATAACATCACACACTTTAATCATTAACACACCAGTATCCAGTCACTAGCTCCTGTGGTGTCCTTTGCAGGAGGTTGGAAAGCCAAACAGACTTTATTCTTCTAAGAGGAACACTGCTTGCAGTTAATATCTATATCCATATTTGTAGGTCTGTCGGATTTGTAAATGACCTGGTAGGGCCAGTCTTCCCCAAATACAATTTTCGTTATTCCCCAGCATTGCCAAAGAGAAAAGAGCATTGTGGGTAATGATGCCCTCTGAGCTTGGTTGTTTGTTTGCATATGCTTCATTATCTAACTAGATAACATCACCAGTGCTAGTGAGGATGGGATTTGCTCCATTGGTGGAACTGAATTTTTTTTTACTACCGGTTCTGGGGGCGTGGCTTGGTGGGCGTGGCAGGGGAAGGATGCTGCAAAATCTCCATTCCCTCCCCACCCCACTAATATACTTACCAGCTCTGGTCTCCCTGTGCAGGGCAACAAAAGAAGACCCAGCCGATTAGCTGGGACTCGAGAGGCAGGGAATAGATGGGGGTGGGGCCAGCCAGAGATAGCATTTGCCGGTTCTCCAACCTACTCAAAATTTCCGCTACCGGTTCTCTAGAACCGGTCAGAACCTGCTGAATACCACCACTGGTTTGCTCCCAGTTTATATAGAGTAGCTTGCCCTGCCAATGTTGGTGGAGGTATGGTTTTCTCCTTGGTAGTTCCTTGATTAAATGATTGTTTACTGTTTTACTGTTTGTCTGATATCCACATCTCTAGCCCCATCCCTATCTCCCCCAACCCCGTCTCCCCTCTTTATCAACACACATACACACAAACATTGATCTGTATATAAGAGATAGTTTAGTCACGTGGTTAAAGCACTGAGCTAGAAAGCAAGAGACAAGTGAGTTCAAGTCCAGCCTTAACCATGAAAGCCAGCAGGGTGACTTAGTGGAAGTCAATCTTTCCCAGCCCAACTTACTTTATATGGTGGTTGTTGTGGGGAAAATAGGAAGAGGAAGGTGTCTTGGATATGTTCGCTGCCTTGAATTGTTTGTAAATATAGTAGGATACAAATAGATAAAAATACATATCTGTATATATGTGTAAATGTGTAGATGTGATTTTATCTTTTTAGAGATTAAAAAAATATGGTTTTTCTTTTAGGTTTATTGAGATAAAATGTACACACCATTGAAAAGCGACAATAAAAATCAAGAAGGAAACAAAAAGACCAGAATATATCCTTCTCAGCAACCAGCAACCAGATAAACAGGGTTAACACCAAGTTTAGAGAGCACTGAGGATTCCACAGTTCTACATATATTCTCTTCTATTTGATAAAAGATGATAGATAAGATAGATAGATAGATAGATAGATAGATAGATAGATAGATAGATAGATAGATAGATAGACCATCACTTCAAGGAAAACTGCTTTTGTTGTGTAGTATTACAAAATAGCCACAATTTTTCCTGATTGACTTTTGGACTGTAGATGTGTCCTGTTTCCTGCAGTTTGAGTTCAGAAACTCTTTTTTCTTATTACAACTTTAAAATTGTCTCAAATTCTGCTTTTCACCATACATTGATCCTGTGGTACTTTTTAATTATGTTTTTCCATTGTTGTGTTCTTTATTATTCCTTTAGCACTAATCCTTTAGAAGCAAAATAATATGCAATGTCCATTACAAAGTCTGATTAAAATTGAATCCTCCTATAAAGGTAGAACTCTTTGATTTTAGAAATATAGGAAAAAGAATTTTACTCAGTTAAGTCATGTACTTCTGGTTTTTGTGCTGAAAAAATCACTTCATTTCTATTACCATGAGGGAAATTTTTCTGGCATTCAGTCAAGGTATATCAGATATATGTGGGATTTTCTTTTTAGGGTATCATCTTTACGACTGGCCTACAAAGATCTTGAAATTCAGATGAAGGATGAAAAACGAAATGTGCCTGGTAAAAAGAAAACAGAGATAGAAAGACTTGGCATGGGATTCAGTAATAGTAGAAGGTATGTATTCGGGGTGGGCTTCAAATTTTTTAGCAAGGGACTCTCTGCCCTAATGACTGGCTGGGTGGGCATGTGACTGGGTGGGCATGTGACTGGGTGGGTGTAGCCAACTCCATGTCGCTGCTTTGCCCTAATTACCTAAAAAAAGATATATACCAAAAAGTTGTTTATTATTTCATGCATTTAATACTTAAATAAAAGACTGGGTAAAATCAGGCTTAATAGCAGTGACTGTGAGAGGGATCTTGGAGTCTTAGTGGAGTTTCTGGTGGGTTACGTGATTCTTATTATTTGAGAACTAATCCCCTCGGAAGCTAGCAGCTATGTTATGTGATTTTCTCAATGGCTCTCTCGCAAGCGCTGAGTGGATTGTTTATCTAGCTTGCAACACTTTTATGAGGTGTGAAATGCTCTTGGCTGAACGCCCAGATTCAATTAAGCCTATTAAGAGCTTTCCCTTGCTGCTTGTCTTTCTGAGATTATTGGAGGCTCTCCGAGCCCTGCAGAGTCTTAGCTAGGGGCTCCCCCAAACTGTTGTGAGCCCCCGGCAGCCCACCCCTGTGTTTGATTCAGATCACCGACTTTTCATTGGACATCTCTTAATACATCTCTCAATACTTACGGCCACCATTGAGCTTAAAAATTTTGTTGCTAAGTGAGACATTGTTAAGTGAATTTTGCCCTGTTTTGCAACCTTTCTTACCACAATTGTTAATTGAATCAGTGCAATTGTTAAGCCATTAATGTTTGTTAAGAGAATCTGGCTTTCCCCTCGTCTTTGCTTGTCAGAAGGTTGCAAAAGGAGATCACATGATCCCAGGACACTGTAACGGTCATAAATGTGAGTCAGCTTCCAAGCATCTTAATTTTGATCACGTGACCATGGGATGCTCCAACGGTCGTAAGTGTGAAGAACAAGCATAAGTCACTTTTTTCAGTGCCGTTGTAACTTCAAACAGTTGCTAAATGAATTGTTGAAAGTCGAGGACTATCAGAAGAAGCTTGATAGCAATCATTCAAATATTTTATTGTGCATATTCAGAATTGCTGCATAACAAGTTTTGAATCCAGAAACTGCTATCCAAATGCTTTAAGGGTTCAAATATGTTTTACTTTAGTTTAACTTAATAGATATATAAGAGCCGTGGGGGTGCAGTGGTTAGAATGAAGCACTGCAGGCTACTTCTGCTGATGGCCAACTGCCAGCAGTTTGGCAGTTCAATTTTCTCTGTCTCAAGGTTGTCTCAGCCTTCCATTTTTCCAGGGCCAGTAAAATGAGGACCCAGATTGTTGGGGACGATATGCTGACTCTGTAAATCGCTTAGAGAGGGCTGTAAAGCCCCATGAAGGGGTATAGAAGTCTTAAGTGATATTGATATCCTGCCTTTCACTTAAGATTTTTTTCTCCAAAGCAATCCTGGGAGGCACATTGGGCAGAGAAAGTGATTAACTGAGGAATCTAGATCTTGGGTCTCATTCCTCCCAAACTTTTTAAATTTCAATTTTTCCCTCCAGTGGTATTTCTCATTCGGTAAGTTCAGATATGCAGATCATACAACAAGAAACACCAACAAGTGCAAAATCAAGAAAAAACTATAATGATGAAGATGATTTGTATTTTTCTTGCTCCAATTCAAGGTAATTATTTAAAAATCTTGAAAATAATAATTAACATACATGTGTATCCATGACCATGACCATGATCCAGGGTAGATAAAGATTTTCTTTCCTGATGACAGAGTTTTAGCAAGTAACAGCAGTAGACTTAACACTGCCTCAGCTCTAATTTTGAAAAGGTTAAACCTGTTTAAGAGCTGGGGTGGAAGACTACCAGGAAATTTCAGGATTTTAGCCTAGATTGGGAAGATGAACACTTTTAGAAAAAAACAAATACCAGAATAGCACCAAGATTCACGCTTGACTCAAAGTTGTGTGTCCTTTTTCTTAGGTGTCCTGGAAATGCTTAGTGTATTTGACACTTTGCTGATCTGTTACTCAGCAGCTCGGTATAAAATCACTAAAATGGTCCTGGTTCCATCTTCCTTAGAGTAGATTTGATTTCCCTTATGTAGGATTGGAGAATTTAGGAGAGAGGGTGTTAATATCATTGGAGTAAGTAATGGCAATTTTTTTCCCCACACCACTGGCTGAATGCTCAAGGGCAAAAGGGATGCTTTAAGTTCTGCAAGGTTTAAGATATCTACTTTAATATGCCCAAGCAAGAAAATTAAGGGGTTTTTTTCATTTTGTTTTAAAGCATGGAGAAATTCAAGACACATCCACTTTGTTTCTTAAAGTTTCTCCAAAAATGCCCCCAGAAAGGATAAAATTTTGAATATGTCTACTTGTGATTGCTATAGGTAGCAGAAAGTGTCCTAGAAATGGTATATGGGTTGTCTGTCTATGCCAAGTAACACTATGGAGTTCTAAGTGCAGAAAAAGAAAGGTTTTTTTTGTTATGTTTATTTATTTTTATTGAACTTTGAGCAAAGTATAAATTACATTAAATTTTAAGCATACATAAAAAAATTGGAAAGGGTTGTCAGCTGAAGTGGCTGCAAGTCAAGTACCAAAGAAGAATGGATGGCAGAAGTCAGAATAAAAGAAATTAAAAAAACATACTGAATAATTTTAGATTCTTATAGAGGAGATTTCCCTTCTTTGCCTGCTGCAGTGGATATGGAGAGCATCAAGAAGGGTGTACCATGGCAAATCACCCACAAAGGACTGCTATGGTTAGCCAAGTTTTATAGCCTTTCAACTTCTCTCCCTTCTGGGGTTGCTTAGATTGCCTTGGGAATCTAAGGGAAATTAAGATCAGAAAATAGTTGCACAGAGAAAGTATTCGTTCATTCATTCATTCATTCATTCATTCATTCATTCACTCAACTAGTGACTCAGTAAGGTTACATACCCACTGCTTACAGTAAGATTACATATGAAATGAGGATTAGCTACATGCAGGCATTGGGCAAGTATTTAAGGTACAGGCAAGAAATAATTAGCCAATTGGGGTAAACAAATAGGAGAAAACTAGATTGTCCAAGCAGGCCTTTGGATGCTGATTAAGAGCGCAGTGCTTTTTAGTAAAACAGCATTCCTTGCCCTTGTAGAGGAATGGATCCATAGTGAACACACTCTCCCAGACTTCAAATATCAATGAAATGTTTTCCGATTTCCAGATATTTTGATTCACCTGACTTGAGAAGTAGTGCTTTTTCTAAATGGGATGACAATTCTGATTCATTCTGGAAGAAAGAAAGCAGCAGAGACATTGATATGATTTTGTCTTCCAAGCCTACAAGCTATTCAGAGAGGTAACTTTCTTTACAAAATATCAACACTTATAATGACATAAACATGAATTACTTTGTTTGCTGACCTGCCACTATTAAATCGCCTTTGCAAAATAAGGGTGAACTTGAATATTCAAATTTCAATATTTGAATGAAAATTTACATCACAAAGAAACCTGCTTGTTTGAAATCCGAATGTTATATTAACATCTCTGCAAATGGGAGAGGAGGCGTGGGGGGGTGAAGGATTTAGAGTTCAAGAGTCTAAAAACATTTTGTTTTCTGGTTGCTTCGGCAAATTGCATGAGTATAAGAGAAAATACTTTGACAAAGCAGTTAGGAATAGGAAAGTTCTGGAAAGGAAGTGGCCAGTGGAATGCGTGCACAATCCAGAGTGTAGATTTTATAGCAGAATTGAAGAAGCCTTGCTTTCCAGATTTACCAGATTATGCATACACATGGTTGTGAAAGAAAGGAGGAACATCAAAGGAATATAAAGGTCCAAATTCCTTAACTGATAAATACTGCACGCTTATTCTTCTAAAAATAATATATTTTCTGTGATTGTTTTCTATTTTTATGGGTTTTTTTAAGTTTTCCAAGTAGTCTTCAGGACTGATCAGATGAATCCATAGTGAGGAGGACAATCTGAAAATAGCATTTTTACAATTGTAATTGTTGTGTATGATAGAATAGAATACCTTTATTGTTATTGCATTCTACAAATACAATTAAAGTTGAAAGCTGCTCCAGCACAGTGCCCCAAACACCACATCCCAATCACACTACAGATTAATAATAATAATAATAATAATAATAATAATAATAATAATAATAATAATAATAAAAACAACCTAGTCTAAAACCTATCTAAAATATATAGTAAGTTAGTTTAAAAATGCCACTATATTCATAGGACTAAATCACAAATGCACTGTTTGATTCAAGACAATTATTGCCTTGGAAAATAAACTGTTTCTCAGTTTATTAGTCCTCATTTTAAGACACCTATAGCGACTTCCTGATGGTAACAGTTCAAAATATGAATGTCCAGGATGAGAACGGTCTATGGAGATTTTTAGTGTTCTAGAGAGGAGTCTGGTCTTTGCAATCTCTTACAAAGAAGAAAGAGAGCAACCGATTTTTTGTGCTGTGTTTATAACTCTCTGGAGCATCTTCTTATACACTACAGAGCACCCAGCATACAACACTGTTACACAGTATCCCAAGTTATCATTAGTAATATAATAATTAGTAATATAAAAAACTCAGATAATAAGTAGTTGTCTTTATAAAACTGTCATACACAGTAGCATTCACAATACATGTAGTCCTTCACTTACAACCATAATAGAGCCTGCCGATTAAGTCCTAAGTTATGAAGGTTGTAAAATAGATCACCCATATGACTCACCTGACTTTATAGCCTTTTTTGCCATGGTCATTAAGTGACCCCATTGTTTGCTGTGGGGAATTTGGCCAAAAACAGGAAGTAAACCCCAGTTTTCAGCCAAAATATAAATCACAATCATGTGATTATGGGACATTGCAAACAGCCATAAATTCGGGCCAGTTGTTTAGCACCCAGAATGCAGTCACATGACTGCAGGGGGTGGCCATTAGAATTTCAGAATCAGATCATAGTCCTTTTAGGAAGTCCATCCTAACTTCAAACAGTTGCTAAATTAGCCATTATAAATTGAAGTCTATCTGTATTAAGGATATTTGTAAAATACAAATTTCTTTGTTGATCTGAGATGTAACCATGTTAAAACATTTTGTAGGTCATCGTCTCGTAGGAAACTAGAGCATGAAAACTCTGCAAGCACAGATGAAGCACAAAAGAAATTTGGCAATGCAAAAGCTATTTCATCAGATATGTATTTTGGAAAGCAAGACCATGCTGAAGTAAGTACAGCCAAAACATTTTGAAATTATTCACTGGTTGTGGTTTCAGAATGTCATCTCATCACAATACAACTGGGCGAATAAGAAAAGTTGTGGAATACCATTGAATTGCAGAAAAAATTATATGTTTTATGTTTTCTTCAGTTATTATCTAATTTTTTCAAGGGGAAAATCAGTAAGAAAAATCAAGAGGAAGGATCCAGGGACAAAATGATTTCAGTGTCAACTTGACAGAATAAGGAATATAAACTGTATTTGGAAGGATTAATTTATTCAGGGAAAAAATCAGTGCTATAAATATTTAAGTGTAGTCCATTTAAGTATTGTTTCATTAGATATAGTACAAGAAAAGGTCTACTCAGAGGGGTAGGATTCTATTTTACATCTGTTTTGAGGTTATCTAAATTTTGCAATATATGGATTGATTTTGTAGGTTATTATAAGGGACTATTTTTCTAATTTTTTATGAACTTTGGAGATTAGCCATCTCTGCATGCTTTCTTTGGCATTTTGAAAATCACTGCCTAGATGGGAAAGATGGACATATTCTTTATGACTGAAATTTCCTTCACCCTCTGTAGTATGAAGCTAGAATACGGTTAGAAAGGCTTTCCGGAAATGCTGCCATAAGTTCAGCTGATTTGTTTGAAGATCAAAAGAAACAGCCATCAGGTATGGAAGAAAAAAACTTGAGTTTCAGATATTGCCAGTTTTATAAAGCAACCTGCTATACTTATTAACTATAACGTACTAAGTATTTATTTGGAAAATAAATAAAGGTACAGTGCGTTTCTAGATAAGTTTGTTTAAGAGTCTTAATACTTTTGTGAAGACTTTTGTGCCTATACACAAACAGAGTGACAGGGCAGCTGGCCCTTTCATTCCACCATTGCCACAGCTAGTTATTTCATTTTCTTAAAAGAGTTTAAATTAGTGGTGTCCTATACATGAGACCAAATGACTACTGACTTTGCTTGTGGAGGCCAGCAGGGAATGTTGTAAATTGCAATCACATGATCATGGCTCATTACATCATAACCACAAGCACCCGAGCGCCTGGATCGCAGTCATGTGACTGTGGGAGGGAAACTGCAATAGCCAGAACAGGACTGGTCTTAAATCCTTCTTGTTTAGCACAACCGTAATTTTGAACAGTTGCTGACTGAGTGGGCATAACACAAGGACTACCTTCAAGCTGCACTGAGAAGTCAAAACATGATGTTATCTTTGAAGAAAGCAAGGTCATACCATTTCACCATTTTTGCAAAGAAAACTACATGGCTCGTTCCACTTAGTCTTTCCATTTGATAAGGTGGCTTTCGATTTAAAGCACAGATATGCAAGATTTAAAAAAGAAAAGCAGTAACAAATTATTTGAAACACAAATAATGAAAACATTAACCATTAAAATCCCAGCTAAAGAGGTGTAGCTTTATAGGTTTCCTAAAGGTAAAGAAAGTGAATGCTTTGAAGGAATCCCTCCTGTAGCCTGGGAATGATGCAGGCAAAGGCTCTCTTATGTTCCCCATGTTTCATTCTTCATTTGCAGCTTGGGTGAGAGTTATTACAAGCTTTATTTCTCTGATTTAATGTTGTCTTTGGTCGTTTAAAAGGAAATACTTTATTGTGGAAGGAGTACTGAATAAAAATCTATGTAGAAGCTGGTTATTCGTTCAAATATCAAACAATCTTTTTGATACAAATCAACTTTATTGTGTTGAAATTATTCCTTTCAAATGTTTTTTTTGGAGCTACATGCCAACATCTTTCTTTTTTTTTTTAATCTCTGTCTTTAGGCAATTACAGTATTTCAAATGTTTTGCCTGCTGCTCCTGATATGACTCAGTTTAAACAAGGAGTGAAGTCTGTGGCTGGAAAGCTTTCTGTCCTGGCAAACGGAGTCATGACTTCTATTCAGGTTAATAAACTTACAAATTTGGAATCTTTCCAAAATGAAATGGTCCCATATGCTATCTTCCTCACTGATTAGTCCTGTCATCTGGTATGAAGGGTGGAAGAATATATCCATAGCCACAGAGGGATTGCTTTGTAGCTAAAAAAAGGGAAAGCCTCTTTTTGTTAGGCCAGTCTCTTGTGAAATAAATGAACAAAAGAACACAAAAACTTCCATCATTAAGTTGCCTATCTACCCAGCTAATTAACTAATAGTTATGCCTGCAGTGTTTTCAGAAACAAATGTACCTTAATTTTCCAAGGATTGAGAATTTTTTTTGTAAATTCTGAATTATTATAAACTTAGAGATATAAAATAACATTAGTATAGATCTCATTCTGTGGCATAGTTAATGAAAAAACTGTGTATGTAAATATGGCAATTTTGCTTGTGAGAAATGTAACCTGTTCATTTCTTTTTATCTTTCCCTAGGACCGCTATGGTTCTTAAGCATTATGGTGACTGGATAACTAGAAGATTTTTTAAAAAAGTTTCTATGTCTACCAATAATTATATTGCAGACTAACATGAAGTTCCTTTTAGTCTGTAAAATATGTAATCCTAATTTCTGGCACTTGTACATTTTTAATGGGAGTCCTTTTTGGGGGGGCTCCTCATGATATTCATTTATTATTTTTGTCCGTCCCCCGCTGCCTTATTGTACTACAAGTTAATTGGCTACATTGAATCTGCTTCTAAAACAGAGCAAGAAGCAATATGGGATCCTATTCACTTTCCCAGAATAGTACTAGGCTAAGAATTAATTCAGTTTTATAAATCTGAGGGATAAGTGGTTATTTAAAGGAGCAGGAGATTGACCTGCTCATAAATAACTTTTCATTGTCTCTCTGAAGAGAAGGAGAGTGGCAGTTAATTCCTTGAAAAGCGCTTATTTTAGGGGGAGGGGAGGCATTAATCCCACCAAGACATTTCACTCTGTGAGGATCCATGTAATTGTTGAAAGATTCAAATACATAAGAATAAGAAAGTTTAAGAAATGCAGAAGCCTATAAGATGTGCAAAATTATTATGTGAGAGATAATGGTGGGGGTCTGTTCAGCAAAAAAATAAAGTGTATAATTTTGTGTCAGATTGCGTTCAGTAGATAATAAATAGTAAATAGATGTGCACATAACAGATAACTGAAAGTTAGTACTGGTAGGTGCAATAGAACATTGGAGCAGTTTTTTGTTGCATTAGTTTTCCATTTAAGTTTGTTTCCTGAGGATGAGACATATGTCTCCTTTATTTAAAATAGCATAAGTTTGACATATTTATTCATCACATTTAATTTCATTCCATAAGTGCTTATCTGCAATCAATATGGTGTCTGAAATAAAGAATAAATTGTAGGTAAAGATAAAGTAATAAGGAGACATGCTCTCTGAATCTAACCATATAGACCAGGGGTGTCAAACTCGCTTTGTCACCTGAGGTATTGTGACTTCTTTCCCCTTCGCTAAAACGGGAATGGGGGTGGCCAGTGTATAACGCATCTGGCCCACAGGCCACAGGTTTGACACCCCTGACATAGACAGATAAAATGTTTAAATAATGAAGACTTCTTGCCTTGCATCTGTGCATAAAAAAACTTGCCAGCTGTGGCTGTGTTTTAGACAACAAGGAACCTCAGTTATTTGAAACAATGAATTTAAAATGTTTAATATGAAGTCATAAATTTTATTTTTTTCCTTGATCAGCAGGCATTTCAATATAAAAATCAAAATAAATTTTGATTTTACAACTTGTGTCTTGGATTTTAATCAATTCTTAAATTTAGTATGATATGGATTTTCATGAATTTGACTTGCCAATTCTGTAGAAGAAATATAGAAGATTGTTTTGTATATTTCTTATTTAGAACATACTCATATTGTTTCAAATATGGCTGCAAGATTAAACCTGATTAATATTTGGATGGGAGACCACCAGAAAATAGACTGGAAGATAAGAAAATTTAATAGAAAAAGGCAGTGTCAAACCATTTATGCCCCAGAGTCTTAAACTCATCTCTCTCTCTTTTTTTTTTAAATAGTAGTTTTATTAAAAATTACAGTTGGAAAGATAAAAGCTAACACAAATTAAAAAGAATAAAAAGAAAAAAATACAAAATACAGAAAGGAAAAATAGAAAACAAAGAAAAAGAAATGTATAAAGAAATGATTTCCCTCTTCACAAGTATAAACAATTTCAGTAACTTATCACTTTCTTTTAAAATATAACAAATGGTCTCTACCTACATAGCTCATCTCCTATCTATAAACAAATTTTTCAAACCTCATTGTTTTAGTTTTGATCAGTAAAAGTTCATTAAAGATTACCAGAAATCACATATTTCAATTTATATTCCTAAACCAACTTTATACTCTTTCATGCAACGTTTAAAAAGGTAAACACTCTGTTATGGAAACACAACTCTTTTTCATTATTTGGAAATATGAGGTAATACCTTCCAGCTGCTAATGGTTCTCATGGACGTAGTTAAAAATAGAAATTATGGCAATCTGCATCCTCTTTAACATTGAACTGAACTTCTCTATGAAAGTAATAATGTTTCACCCTTTTTGCCCCATGCACTGATTTGCCACGAGGGAAAATTAGCTGCTACAGTCATCATGTGATATAATTTGACATAGTTTGAAAATTATAGCTTCCAGATATGTCCCTCTGACCTTATTGAATAAATCTTCAGAGACTATATGATTTGTCATTTTCATTTTAGATTTAAATAAAATGTAGATTTAGTAAATTATAATTATGTCAAGGTCAAAGTTGATGCATATGAAGTCCTGTTTAATCATCAACAGTTTTTAATTACTTGAATTGCAACAGGCTTACTAAAAATGCTGTTCATATACTGTATATTCTGTGTTAGGGATGTACAAAAAGCTCCATGCAAATGAGGACTTTGGACAATCTGTGGATGGAGAGAAATCTGTGGGTATCTTATGATTTGCTGTGGAATCTGGGGCAATATGCTTAAAATGCATCAAATGAAAATATACATGTATGTTTGGGTATGCCATTCCTTTTAAATTCCTCTGATTGAACACCCTATTTTCTTTTGCTATTGAAATCATCTTAATCTTTTGAAATCTCTGGTCAAGACAAAAAAAGGAGGGGGAATATGAAGGCATATAATGAATTCTGGATCTATTGTAGAAAGTAAATAAAGAATGCTGTCCAAAAGTAATCATAGGGAGTAGTTCAATATGTGAAATGAAAATCAACCAGTAATAATAATGGCAATAAATAAAACATGAAATAACACTAAAGCAGCAACAAAATAGATCCATTCTAAACCATGAATGGATCTTAATATGCCTGGAAAAAAATTCTTGATTTTATAAGACCATAATGTAATCAAGCATCTTTGGGGCGGGGTCTATTGAGAGAAACCACTTCTAATTTTTTTGCTACCCACTTGTTTTGTTTTCTAAGTCTATGAAATATAAATTTGATGTGGTTCATCAAAAAATGCACACTGAGGGGATTTGATATATCCAAGTCATGCTGCAATTTTACTTACTGATACTTCATCATTGACTTATTCATTGCAAACAGGAATCCAGGACTCTGAACTACAATTTCCAATGAGGTTGTGTATTTACACCAGTGCACTCACAATTAAAGGAAGAGATCCTTAAAACAAAAAATAACGGAATTGGAAGGGACCTTGCAGGTCCTTTAGTCCAATCCCCTGCTCAAGTAGAAGACCTTATATTATTTTGGACAAATATTTATACCATCTCTTCTTGAAAACCTGTAAAATCTTCTGGAGGCAAGCTATTCCACTGATTGTGGATAACATTGAGTACCTTTAATATTTATCTTGCTGGTTTCTATCACTTGAGTGAGGACTGAGGCGCTGGCAATTTGGTATAATGCCTCATTTTTAAAAAGCGGAAAATGTGATCCCAAATCAGTTTGCAAATTTAAGCAGCTTTCCAGGTGCAATGCAACTATATACTTCCTTTCACATGACAGAAATCAAGCATTTCATGGATTCTCACAAAGCTCTTCATTTCTATTTGTAGAATATTGCTGATGTAGATGTGTTGCTGCTTTTCTTGCAAAGAGTGTTTTACTTTTTCCCAGAAATAGCTAAATGTAGCTGCAGAAGATCCACACCTGGACTTGTTTGTTCAGTTATGAATTTGGGGGTTATAATTCCAAAATATATGGAGGACACCAAATTCAGAAAGATTGGTGTAAGCATGATACATTCTCATGAATACTACTTGTGAACGACTGTTTATACAGGTGACAGTGAGGCTGTAGTAGATACTCTAGTTCAAATTGCCAGAATATTTAAAATCACTTTGTTGGGAGGATCCTCTGGAATATATTCAATTTGAGGAAATCTTTGTGAACTGATATGGAATTATCACAGTGGAAAGAATAGAAGAGGATCAAAATATGAAAGGAATCAAAAAACACCTGGGCTCTTTGTTAATTACCAAACAGCATTTTTATACCTTGTAAATTAGTCATACTAACCATTAACATTCAGTGACTGAATATAATCCTTTTAGACCTGAACACCACAAAACTATTATTGGTTCAAAGAGATTTAAAATCTCTTTAAAAATTAGCAAAGTCAGATTAATGAAATTGCTTTTGTGTCCTGTTGGAAGACAAAATCAGTCATACTGGTAAATAACTTCAGTAAAGGGAGGCAGAATAAATGTGACACAATTGATCCTCCTTGACATTTTAAATGTCTTGATGCAATCAACCATCACATTCTCCTGGACCATCTCCATTAATATAAAATATTCCTTTAGAGTGGTTCTTGTAGGAATGACCTAACGCAGGACTACTAGGTCTCATGAGATAAACAGACTTTCAACTAAATGTGAATTATTTTAAAGCAATTTAATCAAATCTCCTGATTTCAAGAGCATTTGGTCCAAATTATCTTTTTTTGCATTACCTATGGAGATTCTCAGTCATCCAGATCACGGAGTTGTCCTAAAGGAGCTTTTTCAAGAGGCAACTGGAATTTCTGTTTTTTCTTTGAAGACGTTTCACTTCTCATCCAAGAAGCTTCAACTGAAGAAGCTAGTTTTTCAGGTTTTTCCATTTCTCTCTGGGAATGTGTGATAAGTCATTATAGATTTGAAGGGCTCAATTAAAGCTGATGCCTGGAATCAGGAAATAATCTAGGGCAGTTGAGTCTCTTGAGGGGAAAAAGAAACAATTGACAAGATAATACATGGAAGCGTCAATGACTGTTGTCAGTCTAATAAAAAAATATACAGTAATCAAAAAGCTAGGTAATATGCCTGCTGTACAGAGAAGTACAGGTAGTCTTCAACATATGACAATTGAGCCTCAAATTTATGTTAAGTGAGAAATGTATTAAGTGAGTTTTGTCCTATTTTCCCAACACATTTGTTAAGTGAATCACTGCAGTTCTTAAATTAGTAATACTGGTTTCCACATTGACTTTGCTTGCCAGGTCACAAAAGGAGATCACATGACCAGGACACTGTCTTTATTGCAATAAAACTAGTTTTGGCTTTGACCTTCAAGGATGAGGTCTGAGAGCTGCTACGGTCTGCCATTTCAATTGAAGTTGGAATTGCAGTATGCTTGTTATACAATGCAATACTATGGAGGTGGCTGGCATGCCCAGGGGCCAGATCTGAGGACAGACTGGTTGCCCTGATGTTTTTATTGCTTGACTATGGGGACGCTGCACGCAGTCATGAGTGTGAAAAACGGTCATAAGTTCCTTTTTTTCAGTGCGGTTGTAATTCAGGTCACTACATGAACTGTTGCAAGTCGAGGACTACCTGTAAAAGGACATTATGCTTGCCCGCAAAATTTGTGGGTGCTTCAATCACTGGAGGTTTTAAAGAAGAGACTGGACAGTCACTTGTCTGAAATGGTAGGGTTGAGCAGGGGGTTGGGCTAGAAGACCTCCAAGGTCCCTTCCAACTTCATTCTGATTAACATACACCCTCAACCCTACTCATGGTGAACCCATGCAGGTGTTTTTTTTTTTTTCTGGCAACATTAGTGAAGTTACTTGTTCTTTTCTTCCAGAATATTGTTTGACTCCCTGAGATTTTTACTCTTAGCCAGCTCTGGCCCCGCGTTTAGTTTTTGCTTCCTAGACAAGCCAACGTCAGGTAAGTGCCGCCACCTGTCGCAACAACTACCCTACTACGAGAGTAGTATACAGACCCCGTAGAATAAGGTCGTGGTCTCCAATGGGGGGAAAAAAACAGAGGGGGCGGGGAAAGGGCTAGACATTCAACAGCAGCCTCTTCCTCTCCACAAAGAGGAGGAGGAGGCCGCACCGAGGAATCCGCGCGCTCGCCCTCAAAACAAAACCAAGGGAGCCGCTTCAAGCCGAACCTGCAAGGCTCGGCCTCGACTCCGCCCGCGGCGCCGGCGCGGAAAGGCCGGCGCGTGACTCCGCCCCGCCAGGAGGAGCGACAGCGCCGTCGACGGTGATGGCCGAGCTCGCCGGGGCGCCGCAAAGCGAGCAAACTGAGGCGGCGGCGGCGGCAAGAGGAGGGGCTTCGTTTCGCACTGCGGCTTCTGGAGAGAAGCTGAAGCGGCGGCTGGGCGGGAGCCGCCGACC